AAACAAATTTTACAAAGAAATTCTCAAAGAACTATTCCATGCAATGGTCATTTCCATTATTTTACGTGTAGCAATATCATGCTTGTAAGTAAATGATATTGCTTGTGATAGAAAGATATTACTTGTGTTTGAAAGATATCACTTGTGTTAGAAAGATATCACTTTTGTAGATCGGTGTTACCTTTTGCATTTTAAAATTAGGGCTGATATAAAATTTGTGCCATGTTGCCATAGAATTTAATAATACACAACGAGATACATGTATAGAGATTGTCAGATTCATCATAATCATTATGCTACGTTTTCATGTTCATCTCTTTAAATTACCAAAATAATAAAATCAGGTATTAACTGTTTGGATATCTAAAATTTGATTCAATATATTGTCTATATTTACCCTTCAATATATCAATACAAAACTATATCAATGACAGCCCTTGGAATTACATGTAGTTACAAGTGGGTTATATGCCAGGACTCATTTTGTATAGTTACAGAGTTAATTAATTTATTCACAAATGATGAGTGGTGTATTTACCCATGAATTAAATGGTCATCATGATTAAAGCAACAAATTGATGTTAAAGCAGCATGCCTCCAGATTGATGCTGATTTTCATTAAAATTTTGAAAATGTATTTAAAAGAAAAATATTGTGAGATGAACAAAGAAATTTACATATTGAAATCGACATTTACATTCTACACTTATTACCAGAAAGAGGTCAAAATATGCAAAAAAGCCCTTACTGCGTTAGTAATGCAGTAGAAATGTGGTAATAAATACTGCAAAATAAGTCTTTAATCATACATAACACCAACACTATACCGTGAATCTGAAATCATTTTACCTTTCTTAATATCTTAGTTCATTTTTCAGAAGTTTGATTTTCTTGAAATATTTTGACTCATCTGGAGGCCTGTAGCTTAAATACAAAAATTTGATGTAAATTCAATAACGTTTAATCTTAACATAATTTAAATCAAATCAATAAGGCTCTGATTTGGACCGCCAAATCAAGCTCCGTAAGAACTAGTTTGTACTTTGTAGTTACGCAATAAACTAAACCTAAACATAATTGAAATAAAAAACAACACAGATTTTTGGTATTTTTGTCAATTCATACATTATAAAAAAGTTTTTATTATGCTGATGATTGTTTTGATACAGCTTGTAGATACAGTAATTCAAACAAATATAATATTTACTCCCTTACAAGGTCGGGAACGCTTGTAAGACGCAGGTCTAATTTCTGCATTAAAAACTACAGAATTCTTTTTATTCTATTGACAACATCTCATTTCATTATTGATAAATAATCAGTATTGTGTTGTCTGATTTACAGCATTTTTTTTACAGATTCTAATATTTTTGTTAGAAACTAAAATAACCATACTAAATATTGAAAAATATGCATGCATAATAAGTATATTTAGGAAGTATTTGAACATGGAAGGGTATTTAAAAACTTGTAAAATAAAACTATAAAGTCAAATAAAACTACAAAGTCATAGTTTACCGGTTTTCATATTTAAGTGTTATTTTGTCATAAACAATGTTTACTTGTGCAATTTTAGCAGATTTTGTTGTATGTTTAGAAAATAGTATCAATTTATTTATTGACTTATTTTTTGTACCAGTATGAATCACCTTATTCACAAAGTTTGCAAGCAAGGCATTATCTGTAAGCAAATTTAACTTGGTAATGTTTGTTATTTGATGTTGAAATCCTTTTATCTTCAAAAGAACTGTTTAAATCTTAAAGATAAACTATGCTCAAATTTGATGTTTTAAAAATATTGTAAATTGCTGCAGAGTCTTTTTTGTTAATTTAAGATAAACATGTTTTGACTTCACACATAAGTTATGTTTTAAACTCTACACACTATAGTGGTCACAATATGAATATATAGTGTCATTTAAAAAACAGGCAAATTTTGTTTCTTTTAAGAAGGTATCAATTTTACTTAACCTGTAATAGGGAATGCAGCTTCCCATACATTGTTTGCACATTTTATTTATTCAAATGAGACAGATTCAGAAGAATTCCATTGATTTCAATAATTTCTGTTATAAAAATATTAAACTCAAAGATGGGCATAGTATATCTTTAAAACAAGGCAAGACCATTTTACATGTTCAGTAGTACAATTTTTGCCTGGGTAAGTGGTGCCATAATAGCTGCTTTATGATTATCATAAATTAATTATAATAATCATGAACTATGATTGTTATGTTTTTTACAGCAAAGTGTTGAAGTTTATAAACAAAATATCATATTATGAAAACAATGTTTGAAGTGGCATCTAATTTTAGATATTTCAATATGATAATTAATCTAGGGAATAATTTGTTGTTTTTTTTAAGTAAATGTGATTTTGAAATACAGGTACATCTATACACATTTGACAAAAGGGAGGTAATTTAAACATTTTATTTTTTTAGCTTGTCTGTTTCCAATTGTATGATCGTTGCCGCGTCATTGTCTTTATAGTCATGGTCATAAATGTAGCCAATTATTCAAATATTTTAAATGTTATCAACTTGAAACTTGGAAAACTTGCTTATCATGACAAGGTGCAATTGTTAGACAAGGGGTATGATTCTGAAAGGAATACTTTTGGAGTTATGCCCCTTTTACTTTAGATATTTTAACAGATTTGCACAAACACTGCATGCGGTGCTATTATTTTTAAAATAGAATATGTTGTAAAATTTATTGAGATATCATGTTTTCACTGCATAAAATAGTAATTAAAAGGTTTTGAATTAGTATTATATGCTAGAATATTGTATCTGAACTCAACATTACTACCAAATGGTTTTGGTCAAAGTTTAACATAATTATAGTCTGACCTTAAAATGACATTTAAATATATTGTTTTCTTACCATGTTATGATGGTTTTAAACTGTTTAATTGAAAATTCAGGGTAAACTACAGAATTCGACATGACATGTTTCTCAGCTATTGGGGAAAAATGTTTATTGACAGATCTCATAATTAAGTTTTTGAACAATCGGACAGGAAAAAAATCTCTTTTCCTTACTGTTTAAGATATACATTTATTCCACATAAATGATGAAAAAGGGGTTTTCAGTCAAAGAATTGTTCAAGATATCATGGGTTTAGTGCAAAAAGGTCAATATCCCCTTTTATTTTCCATGTGTTAAAATATTATCTACACATTAATTCAAACATCTAAAAGCACAGGAATGTTTGTTTGTTCAAAGACATGATGTTTATTAAACAATTATGACTGATTTCTTATTATTTACCTGATCTTTAATCTAAACTAAGTATTTTTTTAATGAATAGACAATTTCCATTACTGAATGTAGTGATTATTCTAAAACAGGTTTTAGTTTCATCAGATGTTAATTTGAATTTATTGATTTTATATAATTAGAAAGGTTTCATTAAATTAAACACCACCTATAACAGGTAGCTTTAATTTGAGGATAGTTTGTTAGTTCTCAAACGGGTTTTACTTCTGCAAAAATCAGATTTTATATTATAAAGATAAAAGTTCAACCAAATATACAAATGTACACGTAATAATTCACACTCGCGACAGTGTGTTCATGGCAATGTATCTTAAACCAAATGGAATGGAATGGACTCATGTAACTCTTTAGTTCAATAGAACTTGTTATTTAGATGCATCAAATTTAAATTAAACTGATTTCTATTTTTGTACATCTGTTTTACAATGTTGTTTTTCTCTTCTTCATATACACATATATATAGATTTATTCATAAGAGATAAAAACCTTCCATTTTGTTATGCTCAGCAAGATTTATTGATAGCAAATTCCTTTTTTTCTTATAACATCATAAAATTGAATATTTATTAAGATTTTCTGGTTACTGTTTTATATATATGATATATATATGAGATGTCTATTTGTTGAATGCCCTTGCAGCTATTGTTAAACAATAATATCTAAAGTCTATTGTTATTCAATGTCAGATATCAACAAATATAAATTTTCTTATTTTATTATACATGAGCTTATTCTTGTTAACTTATAAATCTGTGTTTTTTGTGTTAAATGTTTAAAACATTTTGTTACGTTCAATTGTATTGTGGGTTTGACAGTCTAAGCTATTCAGATTTGAACAAATCGATGACATCCATAAAAAAACGCCCAAAACGGCAAAAATGTAAATGTCGCAGACTTGGTTTGATTGATGTGAAAGTCTACTTTTAGTTGAACATCTCGAATGCAGATGTTTCAAAATTCAAAATTTTACTAGTTCATGTTAAATATTAAATTCTGCTCAAGCTGATGCCCGAGAGCATGAACGGCAGCTTGCAATTACCATAATCCGTCTATCAAACTGAGCCTGCAACATTTTCAATTTTTTCATGATGGGGTTTCTTTAGGGATTCTGTTTTTCTCTTTTTGGCTGTTCATATTAATTAAGTTCAAAGTGACCAATGTATTCCTGTTTAAGTTCAGGTATACATGTATTTTGTGTTGAATAACTAAAGTATTCATCGTTGGAATAAGTTCAAATCAGTTTAAAGTGGAACGTCTGTATTTTCTATGTATAGTTATACATTTGTTCTTGTGATTGTCTAAAATAGCCGTAGCTTAGTTTAGTTTAAATATAACGTTGTCTGTCTAAATATTTGTCTATGAAGCTTTTGTTCAGTAAATTTAAAACACGCTGTTTTGTTAAATGTAATTTATGTTTAATAATGTTAACCAAAGTCTATGATTGTTGAATGTTTATTGTTGAACATTCCAAAGAGTAAACATATTGTTCTGTACAGTAATTATGTATATGGTTAAGAAGTTGCCATATTTTTAACATTGTTATTCTATTAATAAATGCATTTTTGCAACTTTTTTTTCTATGTTTTCTTTCTCGTGTTTTGCTTACCCCATCCCAATGAGCTGAATTTTTGACAGAGTCAGTGTTGAAAGATGTTTACTCAAATGCTGTATTTTTAACAGAACATTCCATTTAAAGGTAGGGTCAATGGCGAAAGTCATTTTAATGACATTTTGGTATGGTTTAAGTTGTAACAGTCATGCAATTTTTGACTGCTTTGCATAAAAATCGAGCATATGAGAACACATGCACCATGATATAAACAATTGTATGGACGCTCTTACCAGAGCTACATTATGGGGTTTGGTCTATCGTTCTCATAACAATAGATGTCTTTGATGTCATTCATTCCGTTTCTCTTGTGGGGTTATTTTCTGCATTGTGGGGTTAAAACGAACAAAAGAAATAACAATAGAAAACCCCATAATGTAGCTCTGGTAAGAACGTCCGTCCTTCCGTCTGTCAGTACGAGGTTAACCTGGAACGGCAAGTTGGATTTTTCTTAAGTTCTACCTGTAACAATGGCTTCTTAGTTTACACACTTACTAATCAATACAAAGTACATGATCTGGTTAAGTTACATAACTATGGCTTCCATATTTACCAAGTTATTGCCCTTTTCAGCACTTAGAAAATGAATAATGGTTAACCTGAAACGGCAAGTTGGAAATATCTTGAGTTCTATCTATACTAATGGTTTTATAATTTCCACACTTACTTATCAATACAAAGTACATGATATTGCCAAGTTTTATAACCGTGTCATCCATATTTCCCAGTTATTTCCCCTTTTCACTTTGAAAATAGGGCCTTCTCTGGTTAACCTATTCCGGCAAGTTGGATTTATCGGAAATTTCTCTTAATTGCTTAATTTATTTAATGATATCTTGCATATTTTGTAGGTGGATACCTTTAAAGGTCCTCTAATTTTTTGTGAAGTAAGTGGTCTCTAGGGTCAAAGTCAAGGTCACTGGTTAAGAAAATAAATTTAAACATTTTGCTCATACAGTCTTTATTTTTTGATGGATGTCTTTCATTTTTAATACAAACATGCCAATGGAGGTCCTCCTTCTTTGGGTATAGTAAGGGGTCATTTGAGTCAAGGGCAATATCACCAATGTCAAGGTCACCAATGTTAAAAATAGATTTTTACATTTTTAAAGGTGTTTACCATATTCTATAGATAGATGTCATTTATAATTGATAGGAACATAAGATTTGATGGAGTAAGTGGTCGGTCGGGTCAAGGTAACCAGTGCTAAAAATAGATTTTTACTCTTTTGCTTATACAGCCTTTATTTATTGACAGATATATTTCATATTTGGTAGGAAGATAACTTGCATGGTATTCATACTTTTTATTGGGGTAGGGATCAGTGGGTCAATTTCACTTGTGCTAAAAATAGATTTTTTACACTTTTGCCCATACAGGCTTTATTTATTGACAGATATATTTCATATTTGGTAGGAAGATAGCTTGCATGGTATTCTTCCTTTGGATGGAGTTAGGAGGTCAGTTTGGTCAAGGTCATCGATGCTCAAAAAAGATTTTAACATTTTTGCCCATACAGCCTTTATTTATTGACAGGTGCATAATATTTGGTAGGAAGATAACTTGCATGATATTCTATAGTTGTCAGTTAGTCAAGGTTAAGGGTGCCAAGTATAGATTTCTTACATTTATATATATTTGATAAAGTTGAATATTTAACACTTCACAAGTCATAGCAATGACTTGGCAACTAATACATTTCACAATTACAAAATACCATGACTCTGTCAAGCTATATAACTTGTGTTTACAATATTTTGGCAATGTTTCTGTCTATAACTGAGTGAATGGGTAAACATTTTTTGAAATATTGCTACTGACAAGAATCGGAGACGGGGGTATTTGTGTTTAACAAACACGTTCTTGCTTAATGAGCAAGTGGGAGATATTTTTCTCCTAAAAGAGGGAGATTTTAGAATTTGTAATACACAAAGAAGGAAGTTCTGACATCAAAAAGAAGGACATTTCTTTAATTTGTGAAAATACCCCTTATTTTACGAAAAATCTTTGAAAATATGCCTGAAAAGAGATGGAGTCTTCTGCTTAAAGAGCGAGAGAGAGTTCACATGTATGTTTTTTCCATTATGTTAATTTTGTTTGAAGAGCTATGAATGTGTTCTTTACTCAAGATTTGATTGTTTATTTCAAAATATAAATCAGCGACCATCATTAGAGGGTCTACCTACTTGTATCCATTGGACATATGGAAGTTGTTGTTATTTTAAATGTCTTGTTTATAAAATTATTCATTAACTTATTTTTAAAAACTTATATGGATAATCTTATTTGTAAACTTATATTCCTAAACTTATGTGTAAACTTATATTCATAAACTTATATTCATAAACTTGTATTCATGAACTTGTATTCATTAATCTATTCATATACTTATTCATAAACTTGTATTGATAACCTTTTTCATTCACTTTTTGATGAACTTGTATTCATTATCTTTTTCATACACTTATTCATAAACTTATTTGTACACTTGCAACCAAGTCTGTATTAACACAACAGCATAGTTTACTTTACTTCCTTAAATGGTTTGACTACTTTTTTTCTGAGAGATTTTGTGAAGTGATAGTCAGATAAACTGCCCACTTGTTTAACTTCCTGCATTTATAAAATGACTTGTACAGATAAAGTAAACAATGTTGTTCTCCGTACAGTCTATTGTACTGCAACGTTAGATACCAGTGTATGTTATATAAGAGAATGTAAAACAGTGAATAAATTAGAAAATGTGTACATGTACATACATTGTAATTTTATAAATTATGATGAAATATTATTTTGGAATTACGTTTAACACAGTAAGTACAGTGTAACTTCTGAATTCCGGAACTTCTAAAATCCGGAAACTTCTGAACTCTGAACATTTTTCACAGTCCCAAAATTTCTCCTTCTGTTTCCTATGTAATCAATACTTCTGAACTACTTCTAAATTCTGAATTCCGAACGATTTTCTGGTTAAATTAAGGTTCTATCAATTCAAATTTACTTCCGAAATCCGGGAAATTGAAAAAGGGGTCACCCGGTGAAGGAATATAATACTTGTGAAACTTAAAAAATGTCATTGTCTTCCAATTAACAGTAACCATTTAGCTTGACACTTTTAAGAATCACAACCTGTCAAGCATGTCAAACACTTGATTAAAGTGTGAAAGTGGTATAATGTGATGGATATTAAAAAAAAATTACAGGTTATTAGCAGGCTGGTACTTCATGAAATGTTCTAAAGGAAAATTGTGATAATTAACATTATGCTATTGTATCAACCAATTCTGTTACAGGTGACAATGAAATTTAAAATAGTTAGACACTTAGACACTTTTTAAAGTTCTATAATTTTGCCATTTTATGAATTTAAAGATCTTCATAATTATATTTTTCAGCATGTCTTACTTAAACACTTAATGTTTAATGTTTCTAGGTTTTCAGATAATTCCGAACTTCTGAATTCCAGAAACTTCCAAATTCCAAACTTTTTGGCTAGTCCCACAGGTGTTCGGTTTTCAGAAGTTACACTGTATATAGATTGACAGATGGTTTACAGTCATAATACAGGGTAAAAGATGAAAATGCGGAAATTTTATTAACTTCCCCTTTCTTTTGTTGAGGATGACAAGCTGTATGATGCATACAGGATTAACAATTAGATCTGTTACTTTGAAAATACAATTTATAAAAGATTGTCTTAGCTGAATGCAGTGGAAAGTTTTCGTGAATCATATTGGATTTATTAACAAATCTTAACAAATATAAAACATTGTTTTTATTTTATGACAGTTGAACCTGTGTTGAAAAAAAAACAACATTGATTTAAAGACCACCTATAAATTTTTTACTAAATAGCAATTGAATTTACCTGTTTGACCAACGCAGACCAAGATCAGACATGATCGTGGTCTGCAACTGTTTGTTTTTTGGTCAGTATATATATGTATTTTGAAATTTTCCCTGTAATTTGTGAATGGTTTTGTCCAGATTGACGAATGGACAAATCCATTTAAATGTTTAGGCATTGTCAGGGTTTATAAACGATCAGAATAAAAATATTTCCTCTTAAATGTTATATGATTTATATGAATCATCCTGTTTACAGACTTTGGTCAAATATCTTTAATAATGTACGATTATGTACAAGATTTGTGTTTATATAGCGTCTTTTTATTGTGTTTATAATGTTTATTACCACTGTGGAGTTCTTTAAGTGTACTTACCAGTTACCAGTAACATTTAACCACTTGCCCCTCACAGCTATGGGTTCGATTTCCTACAGGGACTTTGGATTCTTTCTTGTGATGAAGCTATTTGGCTAGTTTAAAGAACATTGGTGGTTCTACTCAGGTGCCCGTTCGTACCTGAAATAATGCCAGAAGGGCACCTGATGTCTTCCTCCTTCAAAGCTAGAATGTCACCAAATGACATATACTGTGTCAGTGTGACATAAAAACCCTATCAAAACAAAACCAGTATCATTTGCTGCAATGAAACAGCTCCGTGATAATTTTAGTTCCATATTGGTATAATTAATTGGGAAGAGGCCTTAATTAGCCTCTCAATTTTAGGAAATTTTATCAATATACACTGTAATTGCTAATTTGGGAAGTATTAAAAAGCTATTTTAAGACAGATCTTTAGGAATAAGGAAAATATGATTTCATTACAGAAAATATCTATTGGGAAGAAACCTTTCATATGCCTCCTTATAATTGTACGTAGGCAAATAATGTTGTTATATATGTTTCTTATTTTAAAAGGTTGCTATTTGTTGGACTGACTTTGTACCAAATTTTACTTACTGTCTGTTGTTTGCTTTATCATTGAAACCATTGAAAATGGAAACGGACAATTTGAATTCAAAACTAGGCAGTTCCATTGCACATTATTTATCAATGACAAGTGTATATACTTTTGCATTTTGGATGTCATTAATAAAAAGCATGACAGTCCTATTTCATTAATATTATGATTCATATTTTAAAATTGTCAGCTGAATAAAGGTATATTTTCATAGAATTAGGCCTCTAGATTTTGACTTGATTTACTTGTGTATGAAATAGATTATTAAAAGTAACTACTCTGATGTCCAAAAGGCAAAAAACATAAAAGTTGGATCAAAATATATGCATAAGCGAGTGAAAGCATATACTCACAATTAAACTATTAATAAAAAGTTTCATTTTGTGCAATTTTTTTAGCATGATTTGAGTTTAAAATTTTCAAATGCTTCTCATTTTTTGAGTCTTTGTTTTTGCAATTAAAATGTTTATGAAAAACGATTTTTTGAGTCTTGTGGATTTTGCTAAAATCAAGCTCACTTGCTGCTGCTTTTGCACAAGGCCTGCAAAATCTTATTTTGACTTATTTCTTAACTTGTCTGTATAATAGTTATGAAGTTAATATTGAAAATTTCCTGTCTGTACAGGCTGTGAGTAAACCTGGGCAATATGAACAATTAATTTTGACATCCCTGTCTGTCGTGCTCTATGACATCCTATCCTTATAAAATCTATTGTAGTCAAATACGAATTCTAGGTAAAAATACTCTTACAATAACCACCTTTGTAGTTTTTACTTTGAAAACAAAATTGTTTTTACTTCTTCACAAACAGCGCAAACTTTTCAAAATCATTTGTTTGAAGTGCATGTATTGTCACTTTAGTGTAGTAATACTGGTTAACTCCTATTAAATTATATAACAAGTTAACCAGTTATTGCACTAAGGTGACATGTAAGAAGTTCAATTGTATTGTTCATTATTAGCTCTCTTACTACATTTATTTCATAAATGCTCTCAATGGTACATTTGATTTATAGAAAATAATAATTATCCTTCCTTGAAATACATAAATATTAAAATTTTATACTCATGTAAATACCTGAAAACTGCAACCTAAGGTTCAGGGTCAGCTATTAGTATAAAGGGGGATACTCCATTTGATGGAGATCTGTGTCAATATATTTTGTGCAAAATTTCAAATTATTCACGACTTTTTCCAGAATAATAATTTTTATTGTGTAAAATGACCTAAAAAATGAAAGCATTATAACACTTAAACTCAAATCGGGCAATCAGAATGGCAATAACTGTTGATTTTCAGTTCTAAGAATATTTCTGTTTTGTTTATTTAACTGCCAAAAAGAACATGTATATACATGTATATATATATTTATATATATGTATGCTAGTAAATATTTTGACTTGACTTTTACTATGTACATTTTAGGTAATATTTTTCTGTTTGAAGTGCAACAGTTGAATAAGCAAGATTGCCCATAAGTAGTGAAAGAGTTAAGGATGTAAAATGTTATCTGTGTAACTGTAGAGTAAGATTAGTTTGTTTAAACGGCGACAAACAAATAAACAAGATGTATAGGACATTACAATATAGTTCAATTAGTTACATATTAAGTGTTTTAATCTTATAAAGTCTTTAATATTAACTAAAGAAAAAAATGAAAGTGATCATAAAGTAAGACATAAATAAGGGAAGCTGAGTACCCATGGCGATCAACAATGGTGTACAGTATTTTTTCACCATTTTAAAATTTCTCAAATTTTCCAAAATTATTTTTCCCCAGTTCAAACCAGGGGCCTTTTTGTTTCTTTAATGTATAGTATGTATGTATGAGTTATGGAATTACCAATTATCGTAACTTTATTTATCTTATTATATTAACAGTGCAAGACTAGAAGAAATTAACAATGACAGGAACTGATCAGACAACTCAACATTAAAGTATGCCTCCTACCAGTATTGTGTGTATTCCAGATATCTCGAAAGAGGTATGTATAAAATATTGTTTGTTTCCCCTCCCGCTACCTACGCACAAAAATCACTGAGACCCAAAAAATCTATTTGTCAAACAAAAAGAACATACCCTACCTTGGCATGGGTCGTGGGAGGGGAGACATATAATTTTTTTAAGAAGGCCCAGACAGTTCTGGTTATAAGCTTGGTGAATGATGGATGGTTGTTGGGCAGGTGGCTGGGAAGCAGTCAATTTCTTCTATGTGCAACTCCTTCTTTTTTTAAGGGATTTCCTTCAAACTTTTATTACAGAATGATTGACATCCAGTGCATAAATACAGTCATGTTGATGGGATTTTGTGATTGGAGCATATTATATGAAACTGAAACTGTTCTATTTAATTAAACGCCTATTTCTATATACATATTCAATGGCGTTGTACAAAAGGATAATAAAAGTATGTACATATAGATAAAAGAAAACACATATGCATGACAAATGAACTACAAAAAAAATATGTTAAAGATATCAGCCGTGTAAAATATAAAGTATTAAAAACACAATCTTAAAACAATGCGTAAAATCTCTAAAATAGTAGGTTTTGACATTTTTCTTGAACATGTCCAAAGTCGAAGACTGTCTTATATACAGAGGCAATTTATTCCAGAGAGTTGGACCAACGGTACTAAAACTCCTGTCGTTAAATGTTTTCCTTTTGTTAAAGGGGACAGCAAAACAATAATCCATATTATCAACAGATCTGAGATTTGGTCTTTTTATGACAAGCTTGTGTAACAGTTCTGTTAGATAAACCGGAGCATTGCCCATAAAACAGTTATACATTGTACATAGTATTTTAAAATTGATCCTAGCTTTAATTGGTAACCAATGCAGTTCCAATAAAGAGTCTTTGGAACTATCATATTTTCCGCGTTGCAAAACAAGTTTAGCGCACATATTCTGGATACGCTGTAATTTCTGTAACTCACTTTCTGAAATGCCAAACAATATAGCGTTGCAATAATCCAAATGTGAGATTACAAGCGACAATACTAGGATTTTTGTGGCGTCCTGAGTCAGATATTTGCGAATGCTCTTTATTCTCAAATAATTTAACATGTCAGTTCTACACTTGGTCTTAACATGTGTTGAGAATCTTAGGCCCTCGTCTAAGTAGGCACCTAAGTATCTTATGACACTGACATTTTGAATTTTATCACCGGCGATATCAATTTCTTTAATTGAACATTTACCAAGTTGGGCTTTATTGACTGACATTTTCTTTTTCTCCCCTTCTGCATAGCGGAAAGGGGATTAAAGGAATGGCCTCCGTCTGTCCATCTGTAACATTTGCATGTCCGCTCCATAACTTTTAAACCGCTGAATTGTTTTTCAAATAACTTAGCACCAGTGATCACCATAATGAAACGATGTTCAGAGCACAATAATTGGGTTGCTTCCCTCAAGGTCAAGGTCACACTTAAAGGTCAAACTTTAAAATGTCTTTATTTCATAATAAAATGTCTACATTTTTTAAATCGCTGAAAATGTTTTAAAATAATTTTGCACAAGAATCATTATAATGAGATGATGTGCAGAGTGCAAGAATTAGGTTGCTTTCCAAAAGGTCAAGGTCACACTAAAAGGTCAAACATTGAAAGTCTTCATTTCATAATAAAAAGTCAACATTTTGTTGCCGCTGCATAACTTTTTAGCTGCTGATAATTTTTGGAAATATTTTGGCAAAAGTGATCACCATAATGATACGATGTGCAGAGCGCAATAATTGGGTTGCTATCCAAAAGATCAAGGTCACACTTCAAGGTCAAATGTTAAAAAGTATACTTTTCGTGGCCGCTCCATACCTTTTTAACCACTGAAATCTTTAAAAAAATAACTTGGCACAATTGATCACCATCATAAGAACATGTGCAGAGCGCAATAATTGAGTTGCTTCCCCCAAGATCAAGGTCTCACTTATAGGTTGATGTATAAAAGTTTCATGTCGATCCCCTCCACTTTTAAATAACCACAGGGTCAGTGTTATCTGTTCTCCATAACTTTTTTACTGTATGGAAGATTTTAATTTTTAAATAACTTGGCACAAATAATCACCATTGTGAGACTATGTGCTTATGATATGCATGGTACAACATCACGGTTATGGTTGGTAAAAGGTCAAGAAGTACACATTCATGTTCACGCGGAAGGGATTTTAGCTGTCCTTCAGACTGCCGTTGTTGTGACAATTTCTGTCACTTGGTTATGTTTGTTTGTTTTAACTAGATTTACGGCTTTATTTACTGGTGAGACAATTTCTTACAAGTGTATTATTTGTACAGCTACTAAGCTCTATTAATCAAATCTCTGAAACTACGTAAGGTAAACACAGACTCCATGAACCGATGTTCATAGAAAACAATTTCTTTTTCAAAGGGCTTTTAAGTTGTGTTTTAAAGTTTGTCCGAAACTTCCCTCCTCTTATACCACTTATGCAATTTCAATTGAAACTTTACGGATTGAATTGAAGATCACGTCCTTGCACATAGTACAAGGGTTTTCCGCTTGAAAGATTTTTGTCCAGTTATGGCCCTTGAATGAAAAGGGTGTTAATAAGTTTATCAGGACTACTCCTCTTATACCATTTATGCAATTTCAATGAAACTTTACAGGATTGATTGGTAGGGCAAGTACTTGAGCATTATACACAAGTTTCTTTGCTTGAATTTTTTTTAAGCTGAGTTATTACCCTTGAATAAAAAAATGTTTGCCCTGATTTTTGGGTTGTCTGCTACACAGTAGCTGCAACATGCAATTGACTATCATGAGGCGACACATGTCATCAGCTATGGCCCTTGTTATAATAATTATGTCATTATATGCCTTTATAAAAAGTAACATGTGTACACATGTGTATGACAGTCATAATAAATTGACATTATTTTAGTTATACAGAATTTATTTTTAGCTGGTTGTGTAGGAAGATAATATAGCTACATAGAAACACTTTTGAATCTGTTCCTTGAACCAACCAGTCCTGAGCTATGAGTTTAAAGTTTCTTGCCTAAAGAAAGAATGCCTTGCGTCTGACATATGAAACAAAACCTAATGCATCTGACATGGTTTGAACCCACTCATTCAGCCATATTTAGGTTTCTTATCTGAGAGATTAACCCACTGCAACTGAATATTTTGCGTGTTGTTTACAGGTATCTGGAGATGGGAGAGTTCAGATTGACTTCCTACTTCCTAACGGGGTGTTTTTACAGCTGGATGTTGACTTCCATAAACCACTAGATCTACTTAAACAGGTTTGACTTTCCATAATATTTTAAATGATATATAAGGATGGAAATTTACAATCACCAAAATGTTTGCTGAATTGTTTTGCGAATTCATTAATTCTTATTATGCTTATTTATATCTAAAATGGACTTGTCAATCTTTCAGTCTTATCAAGGGCAATTATCATTTGAAGGTAAAGGTTTTTAGTATTGACTGACTGAATAGTCAACATTGCAGACAATGATTAGGTGCAGGGTGGCATGGATTTGTGGGTCAATCTTGGTTTGCACTGGTCATATGGGTAGAAACTATACCTGTTAGTAGGCCAAGAGTTAAAATCCCTTTACCTCTCATATGTTATAATATTTGCTCATATGAAGATTCAAGAATATTAAAGGTTACAGAAGGCCTGTCTGACATACATGTCTATTTAACAATTTTCTTGTCTGTTTTGCAATAGAATAAAATATGTTTTATTTTAAAAACAAAATAGTTGTAAATTAAAAAACAACTTAATATATAATTTATATAAAACAATTTTGTATGTTCAGAGGTACATATTTATTTTGTTTGAAACAAGGAAATTTTTTTTGCATAAGTTACGGTACATTTACATTTAATTTACAAATATATAAGTTAGTAACTTAGATAACTAGATTAAGCTCTCAAAATGGGTCATAATTCTTTTAAACAATTGGTTTTAAATTAAGAAGTGAAGTTTACCTGAACATGTAGTTGATACTTAGCCATGCTCGGAAAGAGAAGTTGGGGTGGGGGATGTTCTCGGGATCAAGTTTATGTTTGGTTTTTTTTGGTGAAAATAATGCAAAAAAAATCCACTCATGACCAGCTTGCACATATGTAGAGCCATACTAATTATGACACACATCAAGGACATTCATTTCTAAAAATAGAAGATCAGGAAACGAATCATTGGCTTTACTTCTTTAAATAAAGTGAGCAGACCAGTAGAGTAGAGGTATCAAGGCGTTTCCTTATTCTTTATGAATTTTATCGTCAACAAATTTCTTTCTCTACCTTAATTGTTTTGATTTGACAATTATATGAAATGACTTATCTAAAAGTAACATATTTAACCTTTAGAAAATGTGGAGACTGCTATAATATTGCAAAAAATAAGCCAATAAAAGATGGTTTAAAAATTAAAGCAAGGCAACTTTATTACATAAATTTAAAATGGAAGCTGTTTAAAATTCAGTTTTGTCACTGTCGGGTTTCAGTTAACAAAAGCCACTGTGACAATTTTTGTTCCCTCTTTTGATAAGCCTGCTATGAAGTGGTCTGACAAGCCCTTCAGATTCCTAGTACTTAAACCTATTTACTTTGTCTCGTATCTAACTACTTCACTTTATAGCTGTTGCATCAGTGACCTACCAGCCACATTTAACAATATAGCTTTTGTTTCAGTTTCAATATATGATACAAAATCTTATTTTAGTAGGTACATACTTACTTTATTTTGTTATGATACAGGATGCAAAGCAAGAATTATTAACTTTATGCAGCTGTGGCAAAAATAAGATCTGTGGAAATAGTTCTTTATAAGAAAATGTCACATGGTGAGAATAATGTGCAGCCGGACCAGGTCGCAAACCAGGGAAAGTTAGAATTCTGTACTGTGGTTTTTTACGGCAAGAGCTTTCCGGCCCCTTACACATTTCTTCCCCAAATTAGTAAACAGTTTTATATTGTGACATGCTCCATCACAACATTAAAATTCTTTGTCAAAGTTTTAATGGGTGCAGAGATGTATTTACATGTATATTGAATTGGAACTATATACCATCACTGCCCCATATTGGGCACCGAATGTCACAGGAGAGAAAAATGTGCAGCCTGACCTAGGCTCAAACCATGGAAGTAAATGGTATCACAGCTCTACCAACTGAGCTGGCCGGTCACTTACATATTTTCTTCCCTAACTAGTGAACAGATTTATAACATGATATTTTCATTTATAACTTAACTTATTTTTCCATATACAAGCAGTTGGTTTGAATCTCATCAAAGACATCATATTGTTCCAAGCTGTCAAAGATAGCTTAATGAATGACTCAGTGATTATTCTCTAATACTTGCAAATGACTGAAAGAAAAACAAATTAATGGAGGGAACCAAAACTTTCTTCCACCAACGAACATTGATTAGGCGAACGAAGGATTTTTTCTACCAGTAAAACTTGAAAGGTCCTTCTTGACAGTTACATTAATTTCATGTTTTTATTTTCATTTGAAAAAGTAAAGATGTTTTGTAAATGTGCATGGTTATGGTGCTTGAATTAGTTGTTATGGGTTAACATTAAGAGAATATCACAGTTTAAGGATTAAGTACCAAGGTATATTTTGATGTCAAGTGCATGACATTGTACCGGTATACCGGTATATTGTTGCACTGATGAAAATTAATATGATTTTAAAATATCTACAATTATTACTTCTTGTGAATTTCAGGCTTTGTGGGAGTCAGCACAGAACTATCCGTTGTTTGGCAGATTAAAAGGAAAAGATTACTACTGCTTTGAATTCCTCAATAGAAATGGAGAAAAGGTAATGATCTTACTTATTATCACTTACAGATTTACCTTTTAGGATTTACCATGCTGGAATGAAAATTGATTAATTCTTTAAGTGCTGGACCCGAAAGCATTAAGCCTTTGCCACCAGTATAGACCAGGCCAGCCTGCATATCCGTGCAGTCTGACCAGGCTCTATACTGTTGGCTGACAAATTTTAAATATTCAAATTGATATTCCTAAAATTGATAATGGACAGTCCCAAAAATGGAAGTATGACAAGTCCATTTAAGATATTCAGCATGTTCAGGATTAAACTTTGTTATCGTTATAGAATCAGGCTACAGTTGTACAGTATGACCAGACTTTATACTTTGGGCTTGCCAACTTTTAGTTTTTCATTTTGATATTCCTAAAATTAACAAGGGGATAGTCTCTTTGAATTAAGACAATCAATAACAAGAAAAGCATTGATGCAAAGCATCAAAGGGCGACGCCACACGAATTTGATACTTAACAAAAGATGTGTACTTTATAGCAGTACCATTACATGTTACCTGGAGGCTAGGCCCAGTTTAAGTTGAAACAAAAACCAAAAAGAATAGACTCTGTCTTGCAAAGATGCAAAGACAATTTATAGTCATTTAACCAATCAAATAAGACTCATGCTATAAGAAAGAATTTCCTCAAATTTATTTTACCAGACACAAGGATACCTGAGTCATCAGCATATAATCACAGGCACGATTATCGGACCTGGGAAGAAAAAATATGACCAGATTGATAAAAAAACTGTGTTCATAAAAAAATGTAAATAATGACCCCCTTTAAAAATATAATATTAACTTAGAGTATATTTTTAAAAGGGGGTAATTATTTACATTTTTTTTTTTTGGTTTTTGACACTTTTAAGATGAACATAAGTTTTTATGCCCCCGGCATACAGTAATTGAACCGTCTGTCCGTCTGTCTGTGCAAGGTTATCCTAGAACGGCAAGTAGGATTTTCCTTAAGTTCTACCTGTACCAATGTCTTCTCAGTTTACACACTTACTAATCAATACGAAGTACATGATCTGGGCAAGTTACATAACTCTGGTTTTCATACTTACCAAGTTATTGCGCTTTTCAGCACTTAGAAAATGAATAATGGTAAACCTAAAACGGCAAGTTGGAAATATCTTAAGTTCTATCTATACTAATGGCTTTATAATTTCAACACTTACTTATCAATACAAAGTACATGATATTGCCAAGTTATATGACTGTGTCATCCATATTTTCTAGTTATTTCCCTTTTTAGCTCACCTGTCACAAAGTGTCCGTCCGTCCATCCGTCTTTCGTAATTTTTTACTTTAGATGACATCTCCTCATTAACCACTAAGCCAATTCAACCCAAACTTCACAGGAATGTTACTTTGGTGGTCACCTTTGAAAATTGTTCTAAGAATTTAATTCCATGCAGAACTCTGGTTGCCATATCAACCAAAAGAAAAAACTTTAAATATCTTCTTCTAAAAAACCCAAAGAGCTAGAGCTTAGATATTGGCATGAAACATCTTCTAATGGGCGTCTACCAAGTTTGATCAAATAAAAGCTTTGGGGTCAATATTGGCCCCGCCCCGGGGGTCATTGATTTTCCTTATAATTATGTGTATGGCAAAAACTTAAAAATCTTCTTTGAAAAAAAAACAAATAGCTAGAGTTTAGATATCAAGCACGAAGCAACTTCTACTAAGTGTTGACAAAGTACGTAAAATAAATAACATGGGGTCAAAATTGGCCCCGTCCCAGGGGACATTAATTTTCCTTTATATGTGTATAGCAAAACCTTAAAAATCTTCTTTGAAAAAACCCGAATAGTTAGAGTTTAGATATTAAGCATGAACAATTTTCTAGTAAGTGTCAACAAAGATGTTAAAATATAAGCCCTTGGGTCAAAACTTGCCCTGCCCCAGGTGTTATTTTTTACTATATGTGTAAAGAAAACACTTGACCAGCTAGACCTTAGATGTTTAGCATGAAATATCTTGTAATGGGTGTCTACCAAGTTTGTTCAAATAAAAGCCTTGGGGTTTAAACTGGCCCCGCTCCGGGGGTCTATATACAGGTGAGCGACTTCAGGGCCATCACGGCCCTCTTGTTTCACTTTGAAAATAGGGCCTTGTCTGGTTAACCTATTTCGGCAAGTTGGATTTATCTTAAATTTCTACTAATTGCTAAATTTCTTTAATGATATTTTTCATATTTAGTAAGTGGATACCTTTGATGGTAATCTAATTTTTTGTGGAGTAAGCGGTCTCTAGGGTCAAGGTCAAGGTCACTGGTTTATAAAATGAATATATACATTTTGCTTATACAGCCTTTATTTTTAAGTTGATGTCTAAGTTTAATACAAACATGCCAAGGGAGGTCCTCCTTCTTTGGGTGTAGTAAGGGGTCATTTGGGTCAAGGTCAATGTTACCAATGTCAAGGTCACCAATGTTAAAAATAGATTTTTACATTTTATACAGGTGTATTGACCTTACTCTAGAGACAGATGTTATTTATAATTGAAAGAAAAATAAACTTTGATGGAGTTAGTGGTCAGTTGGGTCATGGTCACCAGTGCTAAAAATAGATTTTTACACATTTGCTCATACAACCTTTATTAAGTGGCAGATATATTTTATATTTGGTAGGAAGATAACTTGCATGGTATTCATCCTTTTGATTGGGGCAGGGATCAGAGGGTCAAGGTCACTTGTGTTAAAAATAGATTTTTACACTCTTGCCAATACAGCATGTACAGCTTTTATTTATTGACAGATGTTTTTCATATTTGGTAGGAAGATTACATGCATGGTATTCTTCCTTTGAATGGAGTAAGGGGTCAGTTTGGTCAAGGTCACCAGTGCTAAAAATAGATTTTTTGTAAAGTCAAATAACTTAATTATTGCTTGAGATATTCAATTGAAACTTACAATACTTATTTATAGTAACAAGGTACATCAGATTGACAAGTTGGATAACTCTGCCTACAATATTGACAGAATTATGCACCTCTGGAACTTAGAAATTTTGGTTAATGTTTTTTTGTAAAGTGAAATATCTCAATTATTGCTTGAGATATTCAATTGAAATTTAAAATACTTTTTTATAGTAACAATGTTCATCAGTTTGCAAAATTGCATAACTCTGCCTGCAATATTTGCAGAATTATTTGCCCCATTGATACTTGGGCCTGTGCATATAATAAAAGCTTATTGCTTAGGGTTGCAGACATGTCATTGACATATATTAGACATAAAAGAGGACCTAACATGAACATCAGGGGGACACCATAGGTACTCAGAGCAGTTGTAGAATGAGTACCAGCCACATCCACCAGCTGCTGTCTATCAGAGATAATACTTAAACCATGTAAGAATGCCATTACATATGGCAGATGCTTGAAGTTTCATAAAGAAGAAGAAAAAGAACTTCTTCATGTGCAGAATAGTGTGATCAACTGTATCAAATGCCCTTTGTAGATCTCAAAATATCATACAATACTGCCTTTGTCCATTTCAAATTTAATGCAATCTGTTAAATGAATCAAACATGTGTCAGTTGAAAAACCACTTCTAAACCCTGACTGAAACTGCCTGACCATGACTCGAACCCATGACTTTCAGAAGACCAACTGAGCTATCCGACCGGCTATACATTTTATCTTTGATAATGAAACAGTTCTAAACCACAACATATTTCCCCACTATATTGATTTGTGTCCTTGAATTCCCCGATGTTTACAGAGCATAGTGAATTAAACTGATGCTTATATGAAGTCACAAAAAACTTAAAAACTCATAGTCTTAATTAAAATAACAATTTAAATATCATTGTATAATTATTTGTCCCCTACCGGTTTAACCGGAGGGGACTTTAGGTTTACCTTCCGTCCGTCTGTCCGTCTGTCTGCCATTCCGTCAGTCCGTCCGTCCACAAAACTGGATCCCGCGATAACGCAAAAAGTACTGAAAATATTTTTATGAAATTTGATATATGGATAGATGGCAGTATGGAGATTATGCACGTCTTTTTCTTTTCTTCCTATGTTGAAAATTCTGGTTGCTATGGGAACAAATAGTCTGAAAATATGGCAAATTTAACACATAAACTGGATCCAGTGATTACTCAAAAAGTACTGAAAATATTTTTATGAAACTTGAAATATGGATAGATGGCAGTCTGCAGATAATGCACATTTTTTTTTTCCTATGTTAAAAATTATGGTTGCTATGGGAACAAATAGCCTGAATTTCAAGATTTCTGATTTAAATTTTTCAGCTTTTTCACTACAAGTTCTTTATTTCTTAAAGTGTTTACTTCAAACTTTAAATATAAGTTTCTGGTCATCAACCACATCATATGTGACAAGGTTTACAACTCTAGCACACAAATTATCAGTATTACCTCCCTTGAACTCTTTTTTAAATAACTTCTTTATTTCCTAACGTATCTACTTCAAACTTCATATATATATGTTTCCTATTATCACTCAACATTTTTGAGAAGGTTAAATACTCTAGCAAGACTATTTCCAAAATTATGTCCCCCTTGAACTTTGATTTTTTTCGAAAAATTGGCATTTTTTACTCCCAACTTCTTCATTTCTTATAGGATTTACTTTAAAATCCCACATCGTAATAATATGACAAGGTTGTATAAACATTATTTCCTTACTAGGCAGGGAAACTTAACACATTACTGTGATATAGACAAACTTAGAACTCACAAGATTTGAGTTCATTCGTGTCATTTATTCACTGGTAAAATTGAAATCAGAATGTTGCTGGGGTTCTAACCGGTAGGGGACTTATGGATTGCTTGCAATACTATGATAATTGCTTGTTTTACTAAAATGGGCTTAGACAGTTATTGGTTGTGCCATTATTTATAACAGGTCAATTTGAAAGTGAACATAACTGTGCATATACATGTACAATATCTATTTTTTGTACAGATAAAAAACTAACCTTTTTTCTATGATAAGAAATTTTATGAAAGCTGATTTGTATTTTACATCAAGGGCACCGGGCGAAAACATGAAAATGCTACAAACGAACCAATTTGTGGTAGATTGTATTTTCATGTTTTCATCTGGCGCCCGGTTACTTTTTGTACTTTGTTGGTTTTCATGTGGCACAACTCATCCACTTTAAAATTTAGCGCACAAATTTATTCAAGGGCATGTAACAATCTACTCTATGAAAAGTCTGTTGTCGGGTTGACTCAGGAGACCTGGAAGTTGAGACCGATGTCCCACCATTACAAATAAATAAGACAGAAGCTGTCCTTTTCAAACTATGCACATGTTAGAAAACAAAATACGAATAACTATTTAGAATATGATTTTTTGAGACATTGTTAATTATATTGCTTGATCGAAGTTTAAGGACATTTCTAATCAATACATGTATTATCATTTATAACTTTAAATAAATGAAAATCTCATCCCTTTAATAATAATAATGACATAACTGTAACTCTTTAAATTCAGAAGTATCATAAGTTTCATCATATCAATATACGGTAATAGGACATTTCGGACCATGGACATTTCGGACCAGACACTTCGGACCAGATTTTGGGACACTTCGGACCATATTTAGGGACATTTCGGACCAGATTTTTGGACATTTCGGACCATGTGTTGGACATTTCGGACCATGAGTTAGACACTTCGGACCATTGTTTTGGACATTTGGGATCATGTGTTAGATATTTTGGACCATTGTTTTGGACATTTCGGACCAGATTAAATATTATTTTTTGATATTATGCATCAATTATTCTATAAACTAAAGAGTAGCTTTAGTATATATGAGACACCATGGAATGATTCTACACCTATCCCGATTTAGATTTTATATATTTTGCAATAGGCCTAAATGAAGAAAATTAAGGGGAAAAAAACAACAACAAAAACCAAAAAACAAGCAATGATTTGGTGACACACGTTTGCAAACAATTTATTATAAAGTATATACAAAAAGACATGACGAAATATAACTTTTTTCAGTTTGTAAGCTGTATAAGTTATGAAGATGAAATCAATTTCTACATTGTGTTATATTGCAGTCTGGACATCAAAGTTTTGACAATTAATCCATTTGTTTGTTGTTTCTTGTTGATTAAAACTGTACTTTAATCGCATTCCAATCAAACCAATCAATTTAAATATTTGTTGTCAAATTAGTTAAAAATTACAATACATACTTCATTAATTGAGTAAAAGGTGACACAAACGAGTTCTATTCAGCAATTAAAACGTGTGAAAAACTGCATTGCCAAGGATATCGATCGTTGTTCTTTATTACCTGCCAGAACACAATTTAACTTGGTAAAAATTTACTCTAAATGTACGTTAATCAATTTCAAAACATCCTGAAATAACAAATAATCATATATAAAAAAGGGACAAAATGGTCTGTTGGAAAAAAAGTTCTGGTCCGAAATGTCCCCATCATGGTCCGAAATTACCATCTCATGGTCCGATATGTCCCAAAATCTGGTCCGAAATGACCAAAAATCTGGTCCGAAGTGTCTGGTCCGAAACGTCCGTGGTCCGAAATGTCCGTAATTCTATAATATACTAAGATATACATGTATGCACATAACATTAATAATTCCCAGTTTCTATTAAATAAATATGAAATCCTTAAATCAACATTAACATGCTTTTGATTACCTTACAACTGGTAAATTTTATACAACAAAAGTAGAAAGTAATACCTAAGATTAACAGAAAAGAACAAATGATTTAGTAAACATGAGTTACTTCCCCTTAAAATATAGAAAACCTGAAACCTTAAAGAACACCCTAAACGGCAAAATTATGAAATGTTGCAGGCTCAGTTTTATTAAGCCATGCAAATTAATGGTGAGGTATTCATAAAAAAAATAGATGGCCATGTGGCAGCAGTAATTGCAGATAATCGGATAGCGTTCAACATCTGGATACTGGTACACTTTGTAAAAACAATCATTCTGTGCAACAGATAAACGTAATATGGATAAAATCAATAGGATATTCGTTAACAACAGTCCATTACCTATCCTAATACTCATTTGCAGGTGAACTTTCCTCTTGTAAGAAAATTTTGAAAATATATAAATGAATGGCATTAATGTAGACCACAACGATATTTGAAATCCGGGTTTTAGTAACTAAGGGACAACCTGTTAAACTGAGCCTGCAATTTCGTGAAAATAATATCACAATGCACATAAAGTTATTAAATACAAATATAACAACATATTTGTTTACTTTATTTTTACAAATCAAAATAAAACTAATTAACACAACATGACATTAACTGCTAATAATAACAGCTCCTTCCATAGGCCAAAATAAAAAGCATTCCATAAGAGACGACGCCGCTCACCAGCGTTGCCAATGAAGAAAGATCAAAGAAAAACATTTTTGAATATTTGGTACAATGGCACACTTGTTATACTGATAATTTTGTAACTTTTACGTTGTTCAATGTTAAATTTGAATTATCTTTCTAAAGTCTGGGCTTTATATCCTGTCAGCAGTCTACAGTATAAGTATGTAGCAAAAACATAAAAGACACACATGCAACATAAAGTTATTTGCATTAAGCTAGAAATAAGTTTAATGCAAATATTGTTATAATGTATATATAACTTAACTTTTATAGAAGGTAGAAATTTCTGGCTTGAATGAAATAAACGAAAATTATGATATTTATGCAATATAGGAGGAGGTTACAGATGAAAGTTTCCGCCTCAGTGACCTTCGACCAATCGGAAAGTTTCTCCGCCTCCAAGAGAGACAGGATATTGAAGGATATCAGACAATTGACAGACAGATCTCGAGTCTTCTAGGCAGTAAACGTAAGTGTTCCAGAATACAGGCTTGCTTTCTAGGTTATAAACATAAGTTTTCTAGGCTATAAAATTGAGGCACGTCATGACCAAACCAACATAGTGCGTTTGCGAACAGCATGGATCAAGACCAGCCTGCAGTGTCATCCGCGCAGTCTGATTAGGATCCATCGCTTACAAACCCCATAACAAGTAGAGAAACTGGTAGCGAACAGCATGGATCCTGATCAGACCTCGGGGATGCGCAGGCTTGTCTGGATCCATGCTGATCGCAAATCCATTATGTTGGTTTTGTCATAGCGCGGCTTAAATGTAGGCTTTCTTGGCAGTAAATGTCAGTTATCTAGGCTTGATATTAAACATCTGTTTCGTAGGCAGTAATTGCTAGCTTTCCAGCACGTAAACATTGTCTTCAAGGCAGTGCATTATCAGTTTCTTCTGTAACATTTAGTTACTCATATTATAAGCTTGGCTATTTGAAAAAAATACCCATCTCTTAATTGGGTTTTAAAAGTTTTCTCTGATTGCTTTTTTAAGCGGATCATTTAGTATACCATTCACCAAATGGTACATGACCCACATGGTGGAGTTGACATTGGTAAACCTTACCATTTAGCTTCTGTTTATATACTTAACAAAGGGATTAAATTGGAACTTAATTTGGATGATCCTGAATGAGTTTTTCTTGACAAACCATTTTCAAATCAAGGTTGCTGGACCTGTAATAACAAAACATTAAAATGCCATCACATTAAAGGGACACTCAGGCAAATTGATGACAAAAGATAGTAAAATTACCTTATGTACGCAAATTTCGCCAAAATGACATTTGTAAAAGTCCCAGCATAAATTTCTGTATAAATTCTACATATTTTTGGGTTTATGTATTTTGGTAAATATATCTATACCGGTATATGTTGAACCAAATTTAGATGCCTACAGAATCACCGAGTATTTTCAAAACTAGTCATGTGACTTTAACAAACCCTGGAAGTTACAAATACAGATATTGCGGATATTGTATGATTGAAACAAAGCTATATCATTCCTTTGACATGTTTTTTAACGTTTACAGAGTTCATTGTGACAAATATTGTGAAATATTTATGCTCTAACCTGATCCACATGGGTCAAGTTAGGAAACCACCATTTTCTTCTTTATAAGGAGTTGTGACAGCCTAGTTATTCATTTTGAGGACATTTGCAGATTAATGAATGAAAAAATCAAAACGAAGAAATGAAAATTTTGTCTGTGTCTCCCTGTAAAGTGCATTGACCAAAGAACTTAAAACTTTGTATGTAGGTGCACCTGGATGGGTAGGATGCATTAAGATTTATGTTATTTTTACCTTCCATACTCAATTTGGGTCAAAAAGTCAAAGGTCATGGTCAAATTGATTTTTGTAACATCATGTTTTTGTTTATGGTCAATAATTTCAAGTATGAATTATTACTTTGAAACTTGATAATTATGTGGATACACCATCATGAGTTCTGACTGACAAAAGGTTAAAGGTCAATGTGACCTTGTATTCAAATTATCTGTTTAATTTGAAAATGTCAAGTTACTATCTATTGTTAAGAAAAGAAGAATGTGATGCTCCTCAGACAACCCTAGGTCTTATTTTCAAAATGCATTTTACAAGGGGAATCAAACAGGTACATGTATATTGGAATCACATTAAAAAGAAATTAAAGATATTAGAATATGAGAATATGATGTGTATGCCACGTTTGTATCTAAGTAGTCTTTAATTATTTCAGTTACCATGGAAATGTATGCCATGCCAAGAGTAGAGGTAGACGATTTTAGGAAAAGGATGTACAGTTTTGCCCTAAGCAAAGTGCCACAAAATGTAAGTTATTCTATAAACGTGTATGTTAAAACCTTTATAGATGTCTGGACATATTGTTTTTCAGCTGTAAGTGGAGTCTGTCTATTTACATGTTCTAGGCCTGTTTTTATTACTGGTTTGATTTGTAAATTATATTTCAGACAATTATCTATACATGTTCCGCAATCCTCATAAATTCAAAGGCTAAAATGTTAACAAAGTGAGAGTAGTGGTCATGTGGTCACAAACACTTGTCCAGACATGGATATACTGTGATGTCAATCTACTGCTTCATCTAAAAAAGGACTCCACTGAGTCTTTTTAATATGATATGATTACAAATGACATAGTTGGCATTATAATCAATTGTGCTATTGTTGAAAGGAATGTCCATGGCCGAGTGGGTAAAGTCGTTGATTTTAAACCACTTGCCCCTCGTCACTTTTGTTTTGAAAGCCATCCAGGTACTTTGAATTTTTCAATGTGAGAAAGTTATCCAGCAAGCTTATAGAACATGGATGGTTTTACTCAAGTTGCTGGTTTGTGCATAAAATAAAAATAAAGTTATGGCTGTTATGTTATGTAGTTTAAGCGTTATGATTAAAGAGTTATTATGGGAAAAAATCTTATTTTATCAATTGAAAATTGATTTTCTCAGGGATTTTACAAATTTACTGTTTTTAAAAAGGGGTCTTATCCTTTAGAAAAAACCCAATTTCAAGAAAAAATAGAAGTTTCAGTTAAGAAAACCCCTGTAATAACCCTTTTAAAATTTTGGGAAATTTAACTCGTTGCATTTGTTGAAGCAATCCTTAAACTCCAAACAAATTTAGAAAAAATATCTTTTTTACACTGATTTTTTACATTTTTCATTCCCATTTTTGATATAAAACAGGGGAAAAGGGATGAACCCAATTTTTTTAAAAAGTGCTTTTTGGGCGATTAAAAATGGAGATTTAAGCATTTAATCTTTCAACCACTTTACCCGGGTATATACAAAAATACGGTATTTTTTTTTGGTGTTTGCAACTTTTTTATTTCTCACTCATGTATTATATTACTTCAAAATGCTTTTATAATTTACAAGTATAGTAATGCTTTGATTTTTTTACAAGGATTTCCACGCATTATTTGAGAACAGGTATCCTTTACAACTTCGTAGTACCGATCACTTGCCGGATGAACTGAAGAAAAAACTGAACAACGGTTACCTTGTCGTCTCCGTACGAATACAAGAAGCCAATGTGAGTTCATGTTATTGTCCTAATGAGTTGGCTCTAAAAAGTTTTGATACAAAAAAGTTCTATTATTTACATTTTGTTAATGTTGTTTGTATTTCATAAGCAGGCTTTTTCAGCAGGATGTATGTCAGGTTTTTTTTTCCAGGATTTTGAGAACATGACCTATACCCATAGAATTGGGAATTTCAGCGCTGTTTTGTTATAAATTGGGGGAAACCACATGACTTTATTTTGCATTGATTATATGAATGCAAAAATCACCGACTAGCATGGCACCTTCAAACATTTAAGCACCATAACAATGAAGAAGCCCTTATTTTCAAAGATTTTAGAATTTGTAATTCAATATTTTTATTTTGTAACTATTAATTGGGAATTTTTCCTGTGGATTGGGAAAATAATGTACTATTTTCAATTGGGAATATGACGAAATATTGGCTATAAGACAAGCCAAAAAAATCCCTTTATGTACATGGAAAAATTCAGATTTTGATTTCAGTTTGCATGTCTGAATTTCTTGCAAACTCATCTACCTTCTCTACAGCTGAAAAATAAATTTTGTGATTAAAATTAAAACTGAGATTTAATTCAGTTATACCTTTTCCTCTTTGCACCTTATTTCTTGTTAAATTTAATCTTGCAGTATTTTGGTTTTATCTTTAAAACAACAAAATATTATGACACCTGCGAAATATGTGAACATTTTTCTTCAAAGTTCACAAAAAATGAACTTGCTTTTTGACAAATTTTTTCTATAGCACTCTTTAAAAAATATGGAGTAGGAATGTATATCGTTAGTACCGTTTCATTAGAATTAGTTTAGTTTATACAAAGTTATTTTAGTTTGATCGTGTTGGAAGTTATAAACTTATTGAAACACTCTCGAATCCCTTCCTGGAACCAACCAAACAATCCTTAGATTACTGGTTCTGCGACGTGAAACCCTTGGCCGAATTGTCACCACTCAAAATTTAGAAACCACAGAGTTGAATTATAGGTGATGTTTTTCCCGGGGTCAAATATTTGGAGTAATTTATTTGTCTGTTTTTATTTTGAGAACAGAACCTGGTGGTAAGTAATCAGATTTTGCCCCAAGAAAAAGCAGAGGTTCATAGACTTGTATTCGTTCAATGCATTTATCATTTTATACTAACAAGTAGTTAAATCATAGAAATACTGGCTAGTAACTCTCTCGTTTGATTGCGGATCATACAGCCTACTCAGTTATAGCTGGTCTGTTTTTGAAGAAAAAGTTGAGCTATTACGATTGCTGTGTTTTTGATGCCATCATCATCGTGCAAAATGTAGCCCATTCATTATTAAATCATTTTGAAATATCAACATTAACTTTGAATACTTGATTATCCTGACAAATGGCAGTCACTAGTTATGGGGCATAATTCTGCTATATTTTTGAAGTTATGCCACTTTATAAGTTACATTTTTTTGTCAAAATGGATTGGACTTTTCAGACCATTATTTACAGCACCACATGCAGTGCTCTTGTTCATCATTCAAAAGCCATCAATACCTTAGTGCTGTCATAACTTTGATTCATACTTCATTTATTAACTTTCTAAATGCTAATTCATACTAGATTGTTATATACGAGGGGTGTTTAAAAGGTTTAAGGACTGTTGCTGTATATTTTTCTTTCATGGTGCGTTTTTATCCATATTTCACAAAATGTAATTTAAATAAGTGCTCAATATGAAGTATAACGCTCACTATCAAGAATAGACAAATACCGCTCGAAACTTGTTTCTATAGGAACCGCATAACGCATACCCGGAGCACTCCGATTTTATCGTATTTAAGTTAATGGTTCCGATATATTTAATTGATAATAATTTTGTTAAATTACTATGGATAACATCACGAAAAAGCACGAGCGTTAAATACAACGTCAACGTCATTACGTGAAAATTCTACTTGTCAATCGTAACAATTGTTTGAATGACAACAGTTTAAACATCACTGGTGCTTACACAAATTAAGAGAAAAATGACGTCAATAGGCGACGTTGAAGTCAGGGCAATCATCATGTTTTGTGTAGGAATTGAAAAGACACCAACAAAGACGTATAAAATGATTCAAGCATCTAGTACAACAAAGACATGTTGTATTTAGATGGCACGACATGTTCCGAAACGGAATAGAGTCAATATAGGATAACAAGCGATGCGGTCGACCGATGGATTTCCGATTTTTTCAGAAATCAAAACACAGCTGCATGGTCGACGCTTTGATTCCAGGTTGGAATTACAAATTGAAACCCAGAAAATAGTTTCGTAATTCGACAACATCTGGTACAAGGACACGTATTACAAATGGGCCAAGAGGCATACAAAATGTATCGCTGTGAATGGAGATTACGTCGAGATTGGAGTCGATATGACGATTGTAGAAATGTAACGTTAACATATTTAGCACTGACGTGACGTTAGCGTGCTCCGGGTATGCTTCGGTGTATGTTTTGTTTTATATGTAATTTAGTTATTGTTTAATGGTATTTTTATTGCTTTTCAATTCCTATTATTTATCAAACTACAGCAAAAGTCCTTAAACTTCCCGAACACCCCTCGTACATGTAGAGGTAGAAGGTTGTTTTAGTGACTTTTTACAGATGATATACAGGTGTCTTGTCTAGCAAATCAAGGTTTTAATGCTTTAGTTTTCACAGCTTTATTTAGCTTGAGAATTAAACAACAGGCGGTTCCTGCATGATTGACAGGCTTACAGTGTTTGAACACCTTCATACTGACATTATAACACTGCATATCTGTAACAATGATTTTAATTGGATAATTATGATGTAAATATCATGTTTATTGATACATTAACAAATTATTTTCTCTTTTAACGCATTGCCTGCTTGCATCAAACTAGTAATACCATACGGCCAGTGCAGACCAAGATCAGCAGGCATATCCAAGCCCTCTGATCATGGTCTGCACTTTTTACTATTCAGTCAATACTTTTTAAAATTGCCAAAAAATAATGAATGTGTTTCTTCAGATTAAAAGATGGACAAGTCCATTTAAGATATCTAGGGTAATTAGGGCAATGAAACTAGAAAGAAAGCAATCATGCAGTATAAAAATATTTGTAATAACATTTTTTGACAGGTGTTATGGCAATGTACTCTATATAAGTTAGATAACCCAAACCTAGGAACTGGGGTTATATATCCTTACAGCTGCTTATATTGTGTCATAAAACCTGTTAAAATGTTGTCAATACAGGTGCTTATCAAATCAAAATAAAATGTGTATGGTACTTTGTGTCAAATTCAATAAAGTTGTAGAATTGTAGAGAAAACAAAATAAGTTTCAGTTATGGTTTGAAAGTAAATTTTCAGTTCATTTTACATTAATATATGCTTTAATAATGACCAGTATGTATTTATAATATATGCTTGGCTTAGCTGTTGGTGTGTAATACTTACAATAATTCACTTTATTTCGTTTTTTTTATTGGGCATAGAAACACTTTTATATTTTTATTTAACAAAACGGGTGCAGTTTGTATAATTTCTTATATTTACTAGTATTTCATTTTATATTCAAAGAAGAATTATTAATTTGAACAAGAGACTTCTGTTGGATTTTATTGTAGTGAATAAACAGTTGTTACTAATTACCTAAAATTAGAAACAATGTACAAGTGCAGTTAGCAAAAATTTGCACAGAATGGATTTTCACAAAAGGAATCTCTTTCCAATTAAAGACCTTAATTTGAAAAACATACCTGCGAAAAATGAAATAAATGGGTTGAATTATATACATATTTCGATCATATCTATAATTAATTTGTATTTATGTTTACAGAAGCAAAAGTTTCTGATTCAATCACATGTAACAGAATTTGCCCTGTAATCATCAATAGATAATGCTGTCTGCAAGTGGCATAACCGTTCAACGAAAGTCCTTATGACTATTTACTCAAAGTGTCGGAAAGTGTGGGTGATTGGTAGAGAGGAAGCGTAGGCGTTCACGAACGAAAATAGTTTTGGGTGTTGTGCCTATGACTATGGTGTGTGTGTTGGTGGTGGGGTGGGTGTGGTGGTGGTGGCGGTGGGTGTGTTTTGTTTCTCTTTTTTTGTTGTTTGTTTTTGTCGTTGTTTATGTACTCAAAGTGTGGTTTTCGGACAAGAAGATTATTTGTATGGTAAAAACTACATGATTCACAATTCAAGGTTTTTATTTTGTTTTCTGTTTTCCTTGAAATAATACAATGTTGAAAAATATATTTTGAAGATAATTCACCTGCATTATGTTAAATGAGCTATAATTAAACTAAATGTTTTGGTTCACAAGAAATATGTGACTATTTTCTCTGTTTGTATATAGCAAAATCTTTGAATATTTAAGTAAAAGAGTTTGACATTTTTTTACAATAACAGACTAACAGCTAGCTCTCAAGTATCAGTACAATAAATTTAATTTTATAGTTTCATGGGGCATCCATGGCCAATCATTAAAGGTTATTGACTTCAAACCACTTGACCCGCACTGCTGTGGGTTCGATTACACCAGGGACTTTGGATTCTTCATGTCAGGAAGCTATCCAGCTAGTTTCAAAAGATAGTTTACAGAACCTTGGTGGTTCCTTTACTTTCCATGGTGCTTGTTTCTGCTATAGAATTGCACAATTCTCATTACTTTTGCACAATTTCTGCTCTGTTTGCACATTTATGCGTTACTGGATATACAAAATGTACAAGGTGGTTATTGATTAGAGATTATAACTTGTGTGTGTGTGTTTAGTTTATTTAAACTCGCAACGGGTTGACCATATGGGCGAGAGGTGGCGAGTCCTCCAGAAGAGTATTAGTCATTTTAGATTTGTGGAGGATAGTGCAAGATACAGATACAAAAAGATGCCCCAATTCCAGAAGCTTCTCTTGGTTCTTTAGCATCCAAGTGTTAAAGCACTCATACAATGGACCTTGATTTAAAGTCTCATCCGAAAGACTTAGAAGTAATTTTAGTTGGCCAGCCCGGGAATCAATCCCACAGTGTTGAGATTACTAGTCTCACGCTCTAACCTATTGCTATTGAGCTATGGGGGTTGGCATGAAGTTACCACACTTAAGTGAAATTTTATATATGTATATAATTATGCTTCTAAAACAATTTTCAAACATCGGAGAATATGTAAAATATGTACTGCAAATATTTGTCCACGTTATATGTAATCATTAAAATACATGTTTATGCATTTATTTTCTTATTGAAAAAATTGACTTAGACTTTATACCTTTTACACCTCCCTTTATTACCATGAAATGTAAATTCGGTAATATCTTTGCAAATAATATTTTTTGGAACTTACAATATTGATAAATCTTCATTTGAGCATTATATTTTCACCTGCTCTAAACTCTTTCATGAAACTAATTTCTGATCATTTGTATATATTTGGTAAGATCTAAAAACAACCATGTATTCTTATTTGCAATGACTATTGTGTGCGGTCATTTGTTTCTGCTGTTTTGAATGAACGTTAGACTGTAAAAACAAATTGTACAAAGGGAGTTGGAAATTATTTATTAAAGGTCCTCTTAATCATATCAGTTCAATCATATCAGTGCTGGTTCCTATTGATAAAATGATCAAAGAAAGATTTAAGGAGAGAAAATAACTAGTTTATTATAATAAAAAAACTGACATATCAAACATGGTAACTATATGAAAATGAAATTAAGGAGATATGTATTTTTTTCAGTATATGTACACATGTATTCAGCGGAACATGGCTCCTGAGTTTTGGTTGGTCAAGAAACATTCAATTCTCACTGTGGGTAAGTACATGTATTGGTAATTCTTCATTATTTCTTCTTCTGAAATGAGCCTCGCCGTGACAAAACCAACATAATGCGTTTGCAACCAGCATGGATCCAGACCAGCCTTTTAGTATTTTTGATACTGAAACCCCTAAATTTTGAATGGATTATTCCAAATTCAATGCAGGAAAATTCCATTACAGTAATTCAGCAGGTTAAGGTTTTAAATGAGCACAGTCATTGTATATATTAGCTAGAATGCACTCTATGGGTAGGCATCTATTGCGCATGTCTGAATTCAAAATATGGCTGCCATTTTTGATTGAACTAAGAGGGGGAAATTTTTGGTTCGGGGAGCAGTAGCTCCTCCCTTTCTCCCTTGTTACGAGCCAGGCGTAACGATAAGGAAAAGCCAGCAACAAAGTTAACATGTAACAATAACAAATTTATTACAGAAAAATTATTAAAGAAAAATTAAGTAACAATTTATGATTACAAATACCTGAAGTCCAAATAAAAATGTAAATCTCAAAAGTCTAGTCTGATCCTGGAATGATCCTTTATTATTAACAGCACAGTTAAATCCAAGTTAAATCCAAGAACACTTTTAAATTATAATAAATTCCCACAATAAAATCCACAAGAATAAATTAATCTGTTTTAAAATCCAAGCTCCAATAAATTACTTTATATCCAAGTTGAATGATACTCCAAATGTATTGATGACTTAAAAAGTAACTGATGACTTAAAAGGTCAAGAAAATGAAAAATGTCCCCTTATATATAAGCTAAGAACATTCCAGATCAGTCTTCCATGTTCTACAGTAATCATAATCTAGCACCTTCAACAATAAAGAATAATCTGGAAATTTCTATCTAAATATAATGCATGAATCATAATCTAGAATTTTCTACAACAGTTAAGAAATTTCTTGTTAAATCTTATTTACACATATGTAGTTATACGTTCTAAAAATAGAACAATAATAATATTGGAAATACCAACTTGTCAGAGATAAACTGTATACATGTAATATGTTGCATACATAACACCCTTCCCCCTGATATCAAACAGAAAAGCCCAACAAATTTGCAGCAGATTAGCTGTTGCTAATATTAAACATGCTAGTAACAGGAACTTCCGGTTCATTTCTATGTACCGTTACATTTTTCCCAGAGATACAACTCTGTATATTGATATTACAGATCCAAACCAGCACATAAAACCTGTACCAAGATCATCTGGACATCATAATATGATGAATAGACATCAAGACGTCCTGGTGTGGGACATTGAGGATAATTTTGAGTTTCAGGTGAAGGGAATGCAGAATATGGAGATTACTTCTGACCAAGTGAAAGACAACATTGATAAGGTAAATTACATTTTGTTTTATTTCTCCCCAAAGTTTTTAAGTAGAGATTATACAAAATAAGTAAGATATTACTTATCTAAAACCCTATTCTGTCACAAGCATTACATCATGTGTTAAAATTTATCATTTATAAATATATGAAATGATAATGATATACTGGTTTAAAACCAGTTTCCGAACAAAAATTGAGGTTTTTCGTTCGTTGATTTCTTGATAATATACGTATGCTAATAAAATTCGCCATACCAAAGCTTGAGCTCTAGCCTCGTCTCAAAATGTAATTTATACTACCTGGTTAAAGATGGACGGTTAAAGAAGGGCATTAAAAGGATCAATTTCTCACCATTACAGAACCAGTTTCCTGACATATCTTTAACACGATAATTAAACTATATTCACTGACTTTTCTTTGTAAATTACCTACATTCTATGTTTCTCAAACTTTAGCTAGTAATGTATGCACTTTTTCTTGCGAGTAGAAAAATGAACTCTGGGAATATGTATGAACCACTGAGAAATAGCCAGCGTGTTGCATGTTTAAAATTGTGGATAAAGCACAAAAGCAGATGAAACTTTTTTTAACATCTAAAGAATTTTATTCATAACAATTTGTCAAATATCTTCAGTAATTACTACATTATATCCAAAAAATGACGTAAAGTGCCAAATATGAATAATGTATTGTGTTTTACGGTTTTTAGCCAATGAAACGGGAAAATAGCGTTTAGCGTTTGAGTGTCTGCCTGTGATCTTAACAGACAGATGTTTCACTATTAGAGGATTATGCATGTAAAAAATTAACGCAAAATATGTATGAATAGCTATGCTTATCTTTATTTTGAAAATCATTAATTTATCATAAATTTATAGTAATATCCATATTTAATTTAATTACAAATATAGCTTATCATTTAACTGACATAGATTTACTGCATTGCTTGCCAAACAAATTTGTATTAAAACCAAAGCTAGTAAGAAATGTGCAACAACTTTTATCAATAAGTGTTTTTCACTCCTCTTCATACAACCATGGTTTACACCGCTTACAGAACCATTTATCTCCACCTTCCTCTAAGCTCTCCCGTACATACATCCTTTCACAATCTGTCAAGCACTCCTCATGATACCACCGTTGGCATAACTCTTCATCACACCCAAACCAAAACCTTCCATTAACCTCATCGTCTACAAGGCCATGCAACCCACACACCTCACCTTTTTTCTTTTCTTTGCTCGGCTTTTCTCCTTTTCTCGTTTAGGTTAAGTTCCGTCTCCTCCACTCTCTTTTTCTTTTTTGCGTGCCTCTCTTCCTCTTTTTCCAATTGCTTTTCCCTCTTCATTTCCCTTTCTTTCTTTCTCCTCTCAATGTCCTCGAATTTCTTCTTCTCAAGATATTCTTTCTCCTAAAATGTATTAAAAATGCGTCTTAATCATAAGCACTAAAATATCATCTAAGAAATGATTTCTTGAGATGTAATTTCCTGCGAGGCCAGTTGTGCCAGTATTTTTTTATCTTATTCTTTTGTTGTACTATTTCAAATGCATAATTTATATGATTAACCATTATATGTATCAAATGATTTGCTGAATAAAACTTTTAATAGAGAAAAACCTTTAGCTGTTTAAGCATGTCTTCTCCATTAATCAAACGTCCTTCTGCTACAACCCTCTTTTTCCGTTGAACTTTGGCGGGATTTACTGGTGGAGGCAATAGTATGTCTGCAAGACTCGCTGGTATCAATCCACGTTTTACCAGAGGATTTGATAGAAAGTGACCACATTTATCACAAGTCTTTATTTCTTCATCACTTTCCTTTTCTAGAAAAAAAAAATGAATGTAACAAGTTTGTTCATTTTCGAAAGTGTTTACACTTCGTTATATCAAACTGGTTATGTCATAAACTACCAAGATTAAAAAAATCGTTCGAACCGCTTAGCTGCACTAATTGGTGTTTGTCTTCTGTAAAATTGCCCATCTGGAACTGAACACTTATAGGGCAAACTTTATATGGTCCTCTAATGTTTTTGTGGAGTAAGCGGTCTCTAGGGTAAAGGACAAGGTCACTGGTTTAAAAAATAAGTATAAACATTTTGCTCATACAGCCTTTATATTTTATGTGATGTCTTAGTTTAAAACAAACATGCCAAGGGAGGTCCTCCTTCTTTGGGTGTATGAAGGGTCATTTGGGTCAAGGTCAATGTTACCAATGTCAAGGTCACCAATGTTAAAAAATGGATTTTTACATTTTTTACAGGTGTATTGACCTTATTCTTGAACAGATTTTATTTATAATTGATAGAAACATAAACTTTGATGGAGTTAGTGGTCAGTTGGGTCAAGGTCACCAGTGCTAAAAATAGATTTTTACACATTTGCTCATACAGCCTTTATTAAGTGACAGATATATTTTATATTTGGTAGGATGATAACTTGCATGGTATTCATCCTTTTGATTGGGATAGGGATCAGGGGGTCAATGTCACTTGTGCTAAAAATAGATTTTTACACGTTTGCCCGTACAGCTTCTATTTATTGACAGATGTATTTCATATTTGGTAGGAAGATAACTTGCATTGTATTCTTCCTTTGGATGGAGTAAGGGGTCAGTTGGGTCAAGGTCACCAGTCCTAAAAATAGATTTTTACACTTTTGCCCATACAGCCTTTATTTATTGACAGATGTATTTCATATTCGGTAGGAAGATAACTTACATGTTATTCTCCTTTTGGATAGAGTTAGGGGTCAGTTTGGTTAAGGTCACCAGTGCTAAAAATTGATTTTGACACTTTTGCCCATACAGCCTTTATTTAATGACAGATGTGTTTCATATTTGGTAGGAAGATAACTTGCATGAAGTTGAATACTTTTCATTTTCACAAGTCAGAGCAATGACTTGGCAACTTATATTTTTCACAATTACAAAATGCCATGACTTTGTCAAGCTATATAACTTGTGTTCACAAGTTTTTGCCAATTTTTCTGTCCATAACTGAGTGAATGGGTGAACATTTTTTGAAACATTGCTACTAACAAAAATCTGAGCCAGGGACATTTGTGTTTAACAAACACGTTCTTGTTTTCAATATTGTTTGTACAAATGCATTGAGAAACAATTAAAGATAGGACTGTTGCTCATTTAAATTACAGACATCTAGACCTATTCTTTTTATTCTATTCCATGCTAGTCTCAACTATGTATTTTACTAAGATAATCGTTTAATTGTAATGCAACCTTGAACCTCAGCATATTTGAACAACTTACTTTAAATAAAATGCGTGTTCACTAACACTCTTTATATGAATGAATCAGAAAATTGAATTTTTGAAATCATACATTGGACGTTACATACTTTTACGTCAAGAGGTTGTAGGATATGTGGTGTGTCCGGAAGTCCTACCAACACTACATCATTTGCAATGGCTGTTTTGACCACTCCACCGCTGATATGTGCGTCACAATTATCCATTAAAAGGACAACAGGATTATCCCGGCCGCAGTTGGGAATAAAAAAATCTGCAAACCATCTTTGAAATAACTGGGTGTCCATGTACCAATTTTCACTGTTTGCTTATCCCCAGGAATCTGGTATTCCATCAGTATATTTACGGTGTGGAAGCGACCCCTTGTAAAATAAGTCTAATATTTCAATTATGTAACTTATCATTTAAAAAGAAATATATGAAAATAGATTTATTACGAAATTGTATAGAACAAGGGCATAGCTATCACACATAATTAAAAGATAGAATGCGACGTACTTCTTAAATAAATTTGGGACATTGGAATAAAAATAATCAAGGTTCTGCTGTATTTTTAGTGGTTTCTTATGTTTATTATATGAGAACTCCATTGTACCCGGTATATAACCATGGTTGGCAAAAATCTGCCATTTGCGCAAACACATAAATGGGCAGTGATATGATCAGTCGTTGTAACACTTCGTTAAAATACGTGTCCTTTTTTCGGTCCAATAACTTTTGATCTGGCTGTTTCTCTCCCAGAAAATCCAGTCTCGTCACAATTAAAAATCTAAAATACATAAAATGTAAACATTGCCTGATGTGAATAAGAAATTAATTACAAATATTATATGAACTAAGTAGACAATTCGAAAATAAACAACTGACGCATGCGCAAATATCAGAAATAATTTCCCGCGTCTAGTATACGGACTGCACACGGCAAAATGAATACTAATGTAACAAATGAAAACGACTGGAAACGCATAGGAGAAAAAAGCTGACCTTCGAATTAACATGTTAAAAGACAATTCGAATAAGATTTCACTGTAGTAGCAATTTAATGTCAAATTTAAATATACCTGCGACTGCTTTTCTTTGATGCCATATTTTCCAAGAATGTCATCCAAAAGCACAAAGAAATCAGCCATTACTTTCCTGGTAGACATTGAACATCTTGCCTTGTCGGAATTTTCTGGTTTTCTTTTGGATAATTCCGGGTGCCGCTGTATGAATTTTTTTGGCCACTGATTTGAAGGCCCTTCATCTAAATTAAAAAGTGTGCTCCGTCCTGAAAATTTGTGAATACGTTTGAATTGTTTAATATGTGCATCGACAATTTAATAATATATTCACTTGTGTGGTATTTTAAGTGTTTAATTGAAATCAGCATGGCAAAGGGATCATAGATTTATTTGGCACCTCATTAGCCGTTTGACAAGCGTTTTACTAAATGTGCATGACTTAGAAAATGTATAATGTGAAGCATTGAGTTCTGAGCATGACAAAACTCTTACCAGAACGTTTAACAATTGTCTGAAAATATGCTCTGGTCATTTGCCTATTTAGTGGAAATCCCTGATTTGCCATGTGCAACAGGTAATTAACCAAACCAGCTTCCTCCTCGGGAGTAATCTGCTGACTCGGCCCCTTTACTGATGTTTCATAACGGCCCCGAATACGGTCAGATTAGGTTGATTTTGGGACGCAGTATTCCGCCGCTGCTTTTCTTATCTTCATCTTGTTATGCTTTACAGCAGAAATGGCCATTTTCATGCTGGCTTCATCGTATTTCTTCCTGACCATACTAGAAAAACATAAATACAGGTGAAAACATCACAATTTCTATGTCAGCAAAAATACTGAGTTAAAATTTCTTTCTTAAATTGTTAATGAAACATAATATTAAGCATCATTTTATTATGCGCCGTTTTACATACAGCGGAGATAAAAGATATGTACCATAATAATTACTGCACCAAATTGTACTAGTTGTCTCCGTTGGATAGAAAAATTGCCGATGACCCATCTCCTCTTTTAATTTATTTCTTTTTTCTTTTTCTTTTTTTAATTGTTTTAACAGTTATATTTTTTATGTTATCAACTTTCTGATTTATACGCAATTTATAAAAAAAATATTTAGAAAAGGAAGGTTAGAAAAGTCTGCATTATGCAATTGTTTGGGCCCCGGATTGTATCCAAAAATAGAAAAAATCATGCGCATGCGCAGAGTGCACTTAAAGCCCCGAAGGGAAGTAAGGCTGTTTTAATAATACATGTAAGATGTTTTTATGATACTTTTTGATGTTTTCACCTGGAAAGAAGTTAATTCTGTCAAAAAGTCAAAACAACCGTCCTGATGATACAGATGAAAGCTCGATTTCGTTAAATTTAAAATAAAGCCGTTATCGTACTTGTCCGGAAACTATTACTGTCCGGAAACTGGTTCTCAACCAGTATATGTTCATGTAAATATTAATAAAGGAAAGCATGTGAACAAAGGTCATCCAAGGGAGATACAAAGCATGGCCTTTATAGACAATTGGACTTTATTTGGAAGTTACTTGTTCTTTTTGAAAAAATAAGGATTGTTTGATAGTTGCCTTTATTTACAGAGGTGGTCTTTAATACGGGTTTGACTGAACAATGGATAAACTTTTCTTCTTTCTCTAGTCTTAAAATATTAATTAATTAATTTTAGCAAAACTTATTTGTTTTATCGGAGATAGGGGCTAAGAAGAGGATGGGGTGTGTATTCTCAAAAATGTACTGTAGGTTGATTCATTTTTTGATCCGCTTCTTTTCTCACATAAATATTCAGGTTTTAACAGATGTTATATATTCAAAAAATGTCCCTCTTTAGATGTTTAAACTTTGGATATAAATTTGGGTATCAAGTCAGCAAAATCCATTTTTATTTTTTTATTTATTTTTTTCAGCTATCTGTGTTATTAAAGAGATAATTATTATTTCAGGTGAAGTTGTTTGTAGGGTTATATCATGGTAGTGAAGTGCTGGGGGATGTGAAAACCACAAACGAGATCCCAGTATTATATGGTAAATATCTCAAAATCAGAAGCAAACTCCGGGAAATAATGTACCAAAACATATTTATTAATTTATGTATGACACTTAAGTAAATAAAACTCAATATTACTTTATAATGGATTAATGTAAGAACTAACATTATAGAACATAATCCATGATAATCTATAAATGTCCAAAGTCAATAAAACAAAAGGGCTTACATTAATCAGATTCCGCCAAAACCAGCCAAACAAAACATAAAGCAAAAATACATATCACTGACAAAATACATATCAATCAATGTTACAAATTAAACAAATCTAATAGTCATAGAAGAATGCAGCAAAATTAAAACTATATCAATCTTAACAAGACTAGGGTAACGTCAAGAAAACCATTATCACAAGTCTTCTAACCTCGAAGAAGTGATAAAAACCTCCTTCAAAAGGAAATAAAACGTGTAAAACATAAAGATACTGTCAAACCACATACAAGAAATTTAAAGGAATAAGAAAAACTCCCTTTAAAGACTATGTATCTGAATCAAAATAAAGCACCATGAACATTTTTGACAGAGCAAAATTCATTGAATTAACAAACTTATATACAGACATAAACTAACATATAAACATGAATATATACATACATAACATACAGTGCTACATGCTGAGCAAAAAACATCTTACAAAACCACTTTACCTTTAATCAAATGGGACACAGTATTAATGGAAAAAAATGACGTAATAAACGCGTGCCTTCTAAATCCAAATGAAGACCTTTGTCTTTAACAGCAAATAGTGAACGAATTGGTTTACCAAACTTGAAAAAAGGCCTAAATGAATGAATAAATTGACAATTCCTTTCATTACATAGACATTCCAACAACTTATTGACTTGTTTAACTTTCGAACTTGTATCTATATAATCACACGGACGAGGCAAAATGGAAGAAAAGACAATATGAGTGTGAGAATTAATACTCCTAATCAAAGTAATAAGATTATTGAAAAAGCTAATAATCTCATCAACTGAAAAATTTTCCCTAGAATTAATGTCATTAGTGCCAACATGAATAATTGTGAAAGGTTTTGACACTAAAAAATGAGCATTCTATATCCTAGCTGAGAGACGGCCTATATTAATCCCAGGGAAGGCAATCACCTTGGTATGCCAAATGCCGCTAACGTCCTTGGCAATGGAATCAGAAATAATATGAACCATCAGGCCTGGAATGACAAGAAAAACGGATAACCAATTATGTAGGTTAAAAACACTCACACTCAGGTGTCCTAAAAACAAATAAACTAGAATCATTCTGTTTCTAATACAAACATCCTAGATAAAATATCAATTTTATCATTCCAATTAAGATCTAAATAAACCTTATAAGCGTCCGATTTCCAATCAACTAGTAATTGAATAAGCTCATGGGGGATATTTGACCTATGTGCAAGAGTTGCAAAACCCCGTCTAAAAGAATGAATGGAAAATTTCTCACAATCCAAACCTTTCATTTAAATACATTCCCTTAACTTGTTCTGAAACAAATAATATGTAACCACTGAACCATTTGGTAAAGTAAATAACACATGACGATGTTGACGAATTTTCAAAGTTAAAAGCAAGTCATAAGCTGTTGCAGGACATAACCTCCTATCTTTTAATCTAACTAAGGGACATATAACATCCCTTTCTCCAAATTGTATAGTTTTTGACCAATTAAAATGTATTTAAATATAATAACCACAATGGCGAATACAATTAGAGTTCAAAAATTTACCTTTATCAATATCATCCAAAGAAGTGGGAACCAAATTCGATTTTCTTGCACAAAGAAAAAATGCAAAAAGAAATAAACACCAATAAACAACATTGTCTTTCACAGAAAAATCAAACTTTTCAATAATCCTCAACAAAATATCTAAAGTAATAGGCTCTGCACGTTGAACAGCCCAAGGATTTAACCTAGCATTAATTTACCTTTAAGGGATAAATGAAGTAAATAAGTATTAATAAGATCAATGTTATAACCTAAACACATATGCAATGTCTTCACTCCACTTATATAATTCTTAATACTTTGCACCGATTTAAAAGATCTACTGAGAAATTGAGCGTATAATTGTAAAGATGATGTAGAAGCAGGTAAATAACAAAGTCCAAAATATAAACAAAATAAGATGAAACTTTCCCACTGTATGTGCGAATTCTTGTTGGTACCATCAGCAAAAGTTGATTTATGTGACTTCCTGAGATCCTGTTTGAGAATCACAAACTGTATCTCTGAAACAAATTACAATTACCAATCTTGAAGAAATCTGAAAATATCTTCAGGAACAGCAACATTCTCCAACAAAGAAACATGAGAAACTTGTTCATAAAATGCATTAATATACATAGGATCTAAATCCCATCTGGACAAACAATCTGCAATGCGATTCTCATCTGAGCTGAGATGAATTGCTTTGATTTGAATCTCATTAACTGAAGTAATAAAACATAGCTCCCGTAAGCACTTTGTAAAAATAAACTTCGAGATTTGCCCGTATTGATAACAATACAAACTGCTTGATTATCACAATAAATAACCACATTTTCCTTTCTCAAAACAGCACACCATAATTTAAGAGAAAACAATGACAGTTAACATCTTCAAACATGTAATGCTCAAATTCTGATTTAAAATGAAGCCAGGAAAAACACTGTGGAAAAAACTATTACCACAAATTCCACCACATCCTGTTAAACAACTATCACAACTAAAAACCGAATCTACTAGCGACCACTCTCCATAATCAATCAAAGATTTGCCCTGAAATATAGATAAAAATTTACGCCACCACAACGAATCTATTTTAACGTCATAAGTCACTAAACATTATTTGAAGAACAAGCATGACATTCTCTAAACCAATTCAAAAACCTATTAACAAATATCCTACTTGATCTTACACAAGCACCCACAAAGTTAAGCTTACCCAACAAACTTTGTATCTCTTTTAAAGTAACTGACTCTTTTCTTTTTCTAACCAAGAAGAAACCAAATACTTAATCTCTGCAAGTCTTTCTTGAGTAACATCCATGGTCATAGTACTGCTATTGAATAAAACACCTAAAAAACCATAATGTCAGAAGGAGGATAAGCTTTATCAAGAGCTTCCTCAATGCCACTCCCTAAGTAACATAAAAGCAAAATGTGCCACATCATTTTTTTCCACACCACAAAAATCATCTAAATAATTACATATACAAAAAACCAAATTTGAACATCATAAAAGCAAAAGCATTTATCACCCTTTGACAAATATGTGCTGAAGATTTTAACCGCATAGATAATACTGTGTCAAAGAAAATATGTTTTTTCCATTTGAAACCCACTAAATTATAACTGGATGGACAAATGCTTATTTGCCTGTACGCTCGACGCAGATCTAACTTAAACATTAAACAACCTTGACCTTTGGCTTTAATAAGAGACACAAAGTCATCTATTTTAGGATAAACCAGTTCAACATCTTAACCAAGAATATTCATCCTTTGAAACAAAATCATTAACTCCTGTTCCATCCTTGGGAAAACTCAAATCTAAAATAATACGTCTCTCATTAGGATTGGACTTGGGGACTGTGTTTAAGGGAGAAATGACCATACCATCTAGAAAAGGACAAGAACTAAAAGGACCAATTATAGCATCACAAGAAGCTTCTTTCTGTAAATATTTCAACATATGATCCGGGAAAGCGGTTGCACCAGCTAAATTCCTTTGAAAAGGTGGTTTATCAAATAGAAACTTTTTTATCCTCTAATGTCACATCAATTGGAAAAACATATTTTAATAAATCACACACCAACATATCATTGTAACCATGCAGCATTTGCTTAATAAAATCTGTATCTATCCTATTATTAACAGGAATCCTGCAGCCTTCAAAATTATAAAAGTCTGAAGATTTAACCTCCCGACTTATCTCAATTTTTCCTGAGATGAAAGAGATAATGTTTCTTTCAAGCTTAAACAAACCTTACAACCTTTTTATGATAACAAACACACTTTATAACTGAGTTTTCAAAATAAGAGTTTTCAATAACTATGTGTTGATATTTACAAAAACTAGGCAAGAAAATATCAGCCAAACCATCTAAAGAAGTATTATCTGATGTATTATTAGTTGAGGCCATGGCCCACAAGCCATTAGTAAGTCATACACTGGCATGAGGGCAAGCAGTGGAACATTCCGGGTGTGGCAACTCTTTTCTATCTGTTTGCCAACATGTAGCACAAATATGCTTTGCGAACCGGGTTTTTCCCTCTTTTAAAGCAATAACATGTGATGATTTTTGCGGACATTTATTCCTTTGATATCTATTGCAAAACCAAGTTTTGTAATCTTCACCTCCAACAGTACTTGAATTTTCCTGAGGAAGATCAAAAGATGGTTTGGGACGTAATTGCACAAAATCTACATTTCTAAAATTCCTAACTTTGTGTCTAGCCAGAACTGCAGATTCCACATAATGGAAATCATCCCCCAGTTACTGTGACCTAATTCAATTTCTCTCAAAATGGCAGCATAAAGTGACTTAACAACAGAAAAATCATATGAGCTATTTAGGTACATCAACTTTTTTTAACAAATCCAATCAGGCGTTTGCTTCTTTTCTTTTTCTTTAATTCTAGGTGAAGAAATGATTTCTAATTCTCCTGCTACAAACAAATTAAAATCTATTTTCTCAAAAGTAATATTTCTACTGACAAAGTCAAACCTTAAGGTAGAATGCGGGTATTTTGCCTATTTTTAACAGAATCAGAACATTTTGAAGTAATACCAGATTTTGAATGTTTATTACTATGTCTATCATGCTTCTTAAAACTACTACTGTGAAGCCCAGAACCACCATCATCAGAGTCAGAAACAGTTGACTCATTTTCTGTAGTAGATGCACTATTATCAGTTGAAGACTCTGAGCTGACGACCCAAAGTTTTGCCATTTCCTTCCTTGTCCTTCTCCTCAAACCAGTCATTTCTCTCAAATGTTTAATAGTTAATAAATCCATACCTGAATCTCCAGCTAGAGTAGAAGAAGACAAAGGCACCTGAAACCCAGCAGCTACACGAGACTTCTTTAGACCTTCCTTCCCTACTCTCTTAGGCATTGACAATGACTTTTCTAGCTCATCCACCACTGCTTTTCTTTCCTCCACTCGTTTACGAAGTATCTACAACTCTTTCTGTTCTTGCAATACCTTCTGTTTCTCGACCAATTCTGCAAGACGAGCGAACAGTTGTTGTTTTTTTATCTGTATCACTGAGAAGCTTAGCCGGTGAAACAGTATTATTAAGCTCGTCTAATTTATCGGAGGCTCCGACGGGTAAACTCAATTTCACTGGAACCGAAGCGGAGCCTTCTTTCCCAGGAATATGTTTCCCATGTGACTTAATAACATTGGTCGTACTAATTTTATCCGGAACTGTAACTACCGGACCTTTAGTGCCCGAAATTTTTGTAGACACCTTAGGACTTGAATCTTCCGTCAAACTTGTCGAACTGTGACTAGTCGTAGTAACACTGACGGGACTAAAACCTGAGGCCATTTTTCTGTAGTCTACAGCTTTTCTAACCCTAGTACTCCTCATTCAAAACAGAAAATAATGTTACACATTAAGGTCTGTATTCAAAGTCAAAAGAAAAACAAATTCAAAATATTAAAAGTTTTTCCCCACTGGGAAACTCCTCTGAAGAACGTAAATTAGTCCACATAAAACTGTATCCTAGAGAAACAAAGTAACCACAAAAATATTATATTCTTTTCAAAATGGCCACGGTAAAGACCGCCAAAATTAATATCAAAATTTAACATTCCATGAAAAACATGTCATACAAACTGTACCAAAAACTAATTGAGCGGCCAATTTATAATAACCGCGGATGAATTCAAAAAATCTGTCAAGCAAATCAAAACAAGTCACATTTTAAAAGGGAGACCATCAAGCTTAACATCAAAAAGACTGTTCTAAGCTATATAAGCCAGGTAACAGACGTTATAATAAAAAGCCCCTGTCAATATCGATAATTAAAAGATTTTATGTTTAACAAAAAATACTTCAAATTGTAATTGTTAATTGTAGAGTTTAATCATGGTAGTAAAGTGCCGAGGGATGTGAAAACCACAAACGAAATGCCAGTAATAGGTGGTATTTGTAATATTGGAGCGACCTTGACCTTTGACCTTCAGGTCATGGATGTTCAGACAGCCAGCAGACTGTGCTTTACTCTACATGGAAGAATGAAGGGGGCAAAGGTATGTTGTTTTTCTAGAAAAAAATCAATACCTCATGATTAAAGGTGTTATAAGCAAATTTACAATATCTTAATATGTTTGTTGTCTTAAACAAAAGTTTATTTTGTTTCAGATGGAATGTAATTCAAATATTTTTCAGTACTAAAATATTGATTATAATAAGAGAAAATTTCAGTTAAACCTTTCCTTTTATAACAAGAGACCTCATTCATTTTCATCACTAATAAGTACAATTAAATTTAAGAGGAAAAATATCCTTAAATTAGGATATTACAATTTTTTAATGTATTTGATATGCAGCATTGATTAGGGCTTCTTTACCAAGTAACTTTGTTTCTTAATTTTCAAGCAGACTCTCAAAATTTGAACATTGGCAGGATATTAACCATAGTTGTTTGAGAAAATAATTATATATATTCAGTATCTTTTACTTATATTTCAGAGTTTGAATCCAATAGCTTGGGTAAACATTCCAGTGTTTGATTTCCGGTCTCGACTGTTGGTTGGGGAACACAAGTTAGCCATGTGGCCTGTCACAGCTGAATTGCAATTAGAAGAAACTGGTTGCTATCCACTAGGTAAATATTTATCAAAACTTTTTTTATTTACCCTTTACTGTATAGATACTCATTTTAAATCACTTATCCATTTCTCCATAGATACCCTCATTGACTCATCCATTTTTCATAAAACACAATTTAACTCACTTAAGAGTTTATGAAAATTATCAATCAATTACAAGGAACTCCATTTAATTATTTCTGGAAACTTTTAACCGAATACAATTAAAGAAAACAATGGACATCATACTTGAATTTTTTTTTTATATTGTTAATTTATTGAAATCTTTTGTGTGTAAGGGAGATAAATTTTGTCATATATTCTGATCAGGTTATACAGAGTTATGTTATCTTGGTGAATAGTCTAAAACTATTTTGATGTATTGAGATTGTTTTTAGAAAAATACAACAAAACATATAAAATATAACATAAAGAAGGGCATTCTGTATCATATTTTATTTACAGAAAGGATTCTAGGAATTAAGTTGTAAAACATTTCAAATTTACGAATTAAAGAAAAGCAGGGCTCTCCTGTTTGCTTAAACTTTTATGACATCAACTTTATCTAAACTTTATTCACAACTGATGTAAATTTAAAAATCTATTTGTATTTCAATCAAAGGAAGTCACCATCCAGAAATATAGATTAATTGTTGCGGTCAAGTTATATGTTATATGTATCTGTATAAATGGCTGTTTGCAATATAACCCTCATATAGACATTCAGGTTACAGTCAGACATGTGTTAAAGACACTTCTGAATAAGACCACTCTGTGGATAAAGACCATTTGTCAATAACCACTTTTTAATTTAAAAGAAAAGAGTAACCCCAATATAAAGACCATTTGTTTGTTTATGTCTTGTCTCTTCTTTAGGTGTCCTTTGTTCACAGAGTTGACTGTATTTAGGTCAACACTCATTTATACTCGAAAGTGTATAGTTTCCTACACAATCAAACTGAAATAGATTTGATATAAACCAATCAGTGATACTGAACCAAAAAACCTGTCAAAAACGTATAGCTTATAATGTTATAATTATAGTGTTATGTAATAAGAGAGGTCATGTTATATGTTTTATACTTACAGGAAGTGTGTCATTGAACCCCCATAGCACTATTGCGTTAACTGTGAAATTCTCTGAATATAACAGAAGTCCACCCATTGTGTTCCCATCCGATGAAAAGGTACATCCATTACATTAAATTATTTGACATCATTACTTTATAGTTTGAGTGTGTTTTTGTTTATTTTATTCAATCCAAAGTTGTTTTGAAAAATACACTTTGTCTTAAATATTTGTTGAGAACAATTTTCTATTACTTTGTGCTCAAAATGTTAGACACAACGTTTTCCTTATATTTTTAACATATGATTGATTAAAGAAATAACGGTGCTTTAGGAAAAGCTAAAGCACTCATTATGGTTAAACTTGAGATAATTTAGCAGAGTTCAAATCCATTTCAAGTGAATCATTCTTGGCTCCTAAACATGGATAAAACTTCTTGTACCACTACAAAATTGGACTCTGGGGTGTCCATGGACGAGTGGTTAATTTCGTTTTTCAAACTACTTGCCCCTGACTGCTGTTGGTTCAAAGCAAGGGACTTGTGATTCTTTCATGTGAGGAAGCTATCCAGCTAGCTTTTGGAATGTCTATGGTTCTACTCAGTTGCCCGTTTGTGCCTGAAATGATGCACGGAAGGGAACCTGAGGTCTTCCCCCACCAGTAAAGCTCTGACACCATTGCATGGTTGCCTTTTCAGTATTATTTAAATTGCTCTTAATCCTCTCATTTTAGAGCCTATTAGAGCTCAAGATCGAAGATGCTTGAACATCTTTTCATTAATAAATTGACTATAATCAAAGTTTACAACCTGAGATGAATTTATTTCAAGATTGTTCAAATGCATTTTGTATATTTTTAGTATTAAGACATGTGAAGTAATATAATTCTGTTCAGAAAATAGATTCTATAATGTGATAAGTTACACTTATGAATTTCTACTCTGGTTTTCTTTAGCATAGCTAAATAATGTGAGTGTAATTTATTTATTTTCCCTGAACAGATTAATGAACTAGCTGCAGGGAACATGGAAAGGCCCGGAACACCAGGCCATCCTGTAAGTTTATCATAAATACTGTTTCTTAAAGCTTCACTGGATTTTTTTAAAGTCAATATTATATGAGCGGCGTCATGACAAAACCGACATAATGGGTTTGCAACCGACATGGATCTAGACCAGCCTGCGCATCCGTGCAGTCTGATCAGAATCCATGCTGTTCACTATCAGTTTCGTTACTTGTAATAGGGTTTATAAGCGAACAGCATGGATCCTGATCAGACTGCGCGGATAAGCAGGCTGGTCCGGATCCATGCTGGTTGCAAATGCATTATGTTGGTTTTGTCATGACGCGGTTCATATAACTCTCTGAAGAAGTAGGGGTTGTTTGCTTTACACGGAGTGTCTGTCTGTCCATCTATCTGTTAATAGAGGGCACCTTGTCCAGAATGTTTTGGCCTGCATAACTAACATTTTAGAGTAGAGGTTGGATGTACAGTTGACTGCCCCTTTTCATTTTGTAATCAGAAGTTCAAATCTTGTTCAATAAATAACTAAAGAATACATTGACCCATAGTCCTGAAAGTTGTTGTGGGTTTTGTTATGACTAAATACATCCTTATTTTTTCAGGTTTGTTGATCAAAGTGACCTTTACCAGGAAAATCTTGTCCCAAAAATAACTTTCAGGTTTTAAATATATCTATATCCAAACTTTATGTGACTCAACTCCCTATGTTTTTTATTCAAACCCTCTCTGTAAATACTGTATTTAAGTGGATATTTCCACTTGTCAAAAAGTGAGTGAATTTAAAATTCCAGACATTTCATATGAGGAATTTGAATTGTGGTAGGATAGAAATGCTAGCGGAAATTTTAAAGAATAACGTCAATTCATAAAAATTCACCAATATTTCCGTGTCGCTAACTTAACCACTTACACAGTAGTGAAACAGCAATTATTGTCCTTAGTAAAAAAAATACCGTTGAAACATTGATATTACAGGACTGGCATCCACCAAAGAAGATGGTTCGTCAGCTAGATGATATACTGAGCTCGCGGCAGTGGGACTGTCTACATGAACAAGACAAAGACTTAGTCTGGACTATGAGAGTGGAGATACGAGAGAAAAATGCACAAGCCTTGCCTCTCGTGTTGAAATCAGTGAAATGGCATAATCATATAGATGTTGCTAAGGTAACTAGTGTTCTTTTGTTCTAAACTTACTTCGGAATTAAGATTATTTTAGGTTTTCCTCAGCTAATCCAGTGGTACTAGAAAACTTTTACAGTTACAGTTTTGAAAATAAACGCAACAGGTTGACTTATCTATCGTGACCAGTAGTGCACCGTGAAACTATAAGGATAAAAGTTTGTTTGTACCGCAGAATTAGCTTGAAAAAAAACACATTTGCTGAGTTCAGGATAACATCTATTTGAAGAAGGCATTGATATGAAACTTATCATATTAAGGCAAAGGTTTGTGTTACTTATTGTAATTTGAACACTTGCTTTTGCATTCATCTTTCATTATTTTTAAATATTGTCGCTTAGATTAAAGATTGATTTTTAGTTTTTAATTTGAAATTTACTCATACAGTTTCTGATTTTGCATTAAGAAAGTTAGGATTTGAATTTGAACAGTTTGTAAAACTTAAAAGAAGCCCAAAAAGGGGCATTTTATTTGCTCTTACATCTGTGTGTGTGTCTTCCTGATAAATACAGGATTTGTTATCTCATTGCCCATTCTATAAGGATATTTTAACTATAACTAGAAGTCTCAGGTTATGGTTTATATAAGGATATATACTAGTGTATTTAAATGATTTAAAATAACTAGCCATGGTAAAGGGAGACCATAGACGACCATATTGTATACCATTACAGGGCAGTCCATGTGTACTTTCTTTGAATTAGACAGATGGTTTTTTCACATTAATGTATTTAATGTAATTGGCGGGTCTTGATCCCATTTAGGATGTTATTCTGGCAAACCATACAATATACATGTTTTATTTAATTACAGATGCAGATTTTGTTAAATTCATGGGGTCAGAAGATACCTGTAGATCATGCTTTAGAATTGCTAGATTTTAACTTTCCTGACAAAAATGTACGAAGATATGCCGTGAACTGTTTACAAGATCTCAGGTAATGTTTGCTTTTGTTCTCTATTATTTATTAATATGTGTCATAATAGAATTATCAATAAAATGTTTTATAAGCAGATTTGTGTACCATATCATTTTTTGTAGCACATTTTTCTTTCTGAAACAAAATGTTGAGAAAATTTCAGGAAAAGAAAACACGGGTCATGCAGTGTCACTAAACTTTAAACAAAACAATGGCTTTTCAGGAAAAATATACACTACACATGTATTATGTAGGATTTATCAGAATTTACTGTATTGTACATACTATTTGAGTGAGACTGCAAAAAGTGTTGGAACACCACATTAAATTCTATACTCATGTATATACCGGAGAAGGCGCTTAAATGATTAAATGTTAAAATCTTGTCTTTCAACTCACCAAATTGCACTTTTTAGATGTCTAATTCATCTTGTTATAATGATGTATATATGAAAATGAATGATAACTGTAAGAATAAGCGGAAAATGTGATATTTTTCTATTTTGTGATCACAAGTTCTCCTCCAACATTTTAGTGAGTTAAGTCCATACTATTTTGCTAATTTCTCAACCTTAGATAAGAAGTATATGTAGATGCACTTGTATTTTAGTGATGATGAAGTGTCACTTTATCTACTACAACTTGTTCAAGCTTTAAAGTATGAAAATTATTTGTACTGTCCACTGTCGGAGTTTCTTCTCGAACGTGCACTCAGGAATCAACATATCGGTCAACAACTTTTTTGGCTTCTAAAGTGAGTATTTTAGTATCAGTATGCTACTGTATGTGGGCTATAAAATTATTAACAGTCAAACTTTTTTGGCTTAATTTCAAGGGTATAAGCAAATAAATTTAAGTAGTTTATGGTTTTGAATTAATTATTGAGTTTGGGGAAAAAAGGGTGGTTGAGTGATCCAACAATATTGAGCAAGTAAATTCTGACTATGGGTCTCGTTTGAATACTACTAAGAGATGATGGAAGAGTGAGATCCCTTTCGAGCATTAAAAAAAATAGAAAATAAAGTGAAGATGGCAAGAAGCTCCTGTTATCAATGTTTTATGTCGGCCCGCTTAGCTCAATAGGGAGAGCATAACTGTACTAATTGCCATAAAGCAACAGAAGCAATAGATATTGATGGTAATTTGCCAGTGAACTATAATATGACACAAAAGTTTTTGAGAAATGAAAACAAATGCATTTCTAGGACATAATGTGCCTTTTACATACTTGTTGCTTTGACATAATAGTTGCTTTGATTTTCAGGTCTGAGCTACATAACCCAATTGTTACAGTGAGATTCGGTTTGCTGTTAGAGACATATCTCAAAGCCAGCCCAGACCATTTGAACGTGTTATACAAACAGTTTGATGCCCTCAATAAACTCAATGCCCTCAGTCAACTCATAAAGTCGGAGAAAATTGAGTCCAATAATGAGGTATGTCTTATCGAACCTGGATTTTTATTCATTACTGAGTCAAATTTTGTAGTTAGTTATGTATTCTTCCATAAAAACTGAATGTATACATTAACAGGGAAGAAATCAGGCATTAACGGATAAAACCTCAAGACCATGCACTGTTATGTCAAGTTGTTATGCCACCGCAGCATCTGCAATTCGGTGACATATAGTGATTCACCTATGCGTGTTTGTGTGTTATATAGATTGTATAGTGAACTTAAAAATCTTCTTGTGAAAAACCACCAGTCTAATTTCAACCAAACTTGGTAGGATTGATCCTTTGGTGAAGGGCTTCCAAAATTGTTAAATAATTTCATTCCATGCAGAAATCTGGTTGCCATGGCAACCAAAAGGAATTATAAGAATAAATTTGAAAAATCTTCTTGTAAAGACCCAAAAGGCCTAGAGCTTAGATCTTTTGCATAAGGCATTGTCTGGTAGACCTCTACCAAGATTGTTCAAATTATAGTCCTTGGGTCAAAATCGACCCCGCCCCGGGGGTCATTGATTTTCACTATATGTACATATAGTAAAAATTTAAAATACCTTCTTTTAAAGACCCAAAAGGCCTAGAGCTTAGATATTTTGCATAAGGCATTTTCTGGTAGACCACTACCTAGATTGTTCAAATTATAGCCCTGTGGTCAAAATCGGCCCACCCAGCGGTCATTAAACCTCCCTTATATATATATATATATAAATATATATATATATATATATATATATATATATATATATATATATATATATATATATATATATATATATATATATATATATATATAGAGAGAGAGAGAGAGAGAGAGAGAGAGAGAGAGAGAGAGAGAGAGTAAAAAGTTCTTCTAGCAATTGACAATTGCTAGAGGTTAGATATTTTGCATGAAACATTGTGAAGTGAACCACTAGCAAGATTGTTCAAATAATAGCCCTGGGGTCAAAATTGCCCCGCCCCGGGGGTCATTGATTTTCGATATATACATATAGTAAAAAATCTTATTGTCTGAAGGTACAAGGCTAAGAGCTGAATATTTGTTAAATAATATCATCTATAGGTACTCTACCAAAGTTGTTCAAACTTTGCCTCTATTGTCAAAATTAGGCCTGTCCAGGGGGCCATAGGTTTTCCTTAAATGTATATAGTAAAAACTTAAAAAATCATCTTCTCTAAATTTACAACGGCTAGAGTTAAGATATTTTGCATAAAACATTGTGTAGTGAAACTCTAGCAAAATTGTACAAATTATAGCCCTGGGGTCAAAATTGGCCCCACCCCCAGGGGTCATTGATTGTCACTACGTAAATAGAAAAAAATAAAAATTCTTATTGTCTGAAGGTACATGGCTTTAGAGATTTGATATTTGGCTAGAGATTAAATATATGGCATGAGACTTTGCAAAGTGAACCTATACCAAGATTATTCAAATTATAGCCCTGGGGTCAAAATTGGTTCCGCCGTGGAGGTCATTGATTTTCATTATGTACATATAGTAAAAACGTGAAGAGTATTTTTGTCTGAAGGTACGAGGCATAGAGTTGTGATGTGTGCTATATAATATCATCTATGGGTCCTCTACAAAAGTTGTTAAAAATTTTCCCCTGGTTTCAAAATTGGCCCTGCCCGGGGGCAGTGATTCTCATTATGTACACATAGTAAAAAAAATAAAACAAATGCATTCTGAATTGGAGAAAGCTTCAGCTTAGATAATTGACTCGAAATAATGTTTGATGGACCTGCATCATGATTGTTTTGAATTAAACCCTTTGGTCTAAATTTTGCCTTGCCCAAGGGGACAGTGATCTACTTTCTTGTCCTTTGATGCACAGCAATGAAATTTCGACCATGTGCACAGTTTTAGTTGTAAAATTGAACTTTGATATCAGGTGACCTAGATTTTAATGATGTGACCTACTTTCTTGTCCTTTGATGTACAGCTATGAAATTTGAATCATGTGCACAGATTAAGATGTAAAGTGAACTTGTATATCAGCTTGACAAAGTGTCTTACTGTGTTGCCCTTAAATGTAGTCATGAAATTTAGGTTGTGTGAAATATGACCTTCACCACCAAATTCACTAGACTCTAGTGCATTGATATATTCCTACTCTGATCTTTTATTGGATTAACAATAGATTTAACCATTAATCTGATAAGAAGAATTAGATAGGTCAGGGATCTATGCATTATGACAATCTTCAATTGTATAGAAACAAAAAATCTGTTTCTACACTACTATTTAGTGTTGTATAAATGCAGTGGCATAGCATTTTGCTCAAATGCTATCTTGTTTAATAAAAAAAAAGCTGACGGCAATGGCTGCCCTTTTAATTTTCATTTTCAAAACATTACACTTAGTGTCAAAAGGCATCACATTCACACGTAAAACGAGTAACTAAAATGGTTTCTTAATTGAAACAACAAGCAACAAAATGTGGATCTATGGATTTAATAATATGGCAACTTTCCAGCTTTGCTGATGGAGAAAATCCTCAAGTACCCCTCTTTACATATTTAGCTAACCTGAGCACAAATTACTCAAGGGTGAGTTTTTGTGATCACCCTGCGCCCGTCGTGCGTCCTCAAAAACATGACGCCAAACTCTAAAAACAACAACTCCTCCTATGCGAATAGGCCAATATTATTTACACTAAGCAGGAATGTTTCTTGCATGAAGCCCTTTTAAAAATAGTTCAAAGAATGCCATTCCATGCTAAATACTGGTTACCATGGCAACTGAAAGAAAAAACTTTTTCTTTTTTTTTAAACCGAAAGAGCTGGAGCTTGGATATTTGGCATGAAACATTTTCTAGAAGATCTCTACCAAGTTTGTTCAAATCAACTCCCTAGGGTCCAAATTGGCCCTGCCCCGGTGTGTCTTTGATTTTCCTTATATGTACATGTAGTAAAACTTAAAAATATTCTTGTGACTATCGGAAAAGACTATAGATGAGATATTTGGCATAACACATCTTCTAGTGAATGTCTACCAAGTTTGTTAAAATAAATGCCCTAGTGTCAAAATTGCCCCTGCCCCGGAAGGTTATTGATTTTCCTAATATGTATATATTAAAACCTTAAAAAATCTTCTTGTGGCAATCCAAAAGCACTATAGATTAGATATTTGCCATGAAGCATCTTCTAGTGAATATCTACCAAATTAATTCAAATAAATGCTCTAGGGTCAAAATTTGCTCCACCCCAAGGGGTCATTGATTTTCCTAACATGTATTTAGTAAAAACCTTAAAATAGAGAGAAATAAAGAATCCCTAAAGAAAGCCCAACAAGACAAAATTGAAAATGTTGCAGGCTGGGTTTGATTGAGCCTGTTCATGGAAGGTAATGGAAAGTGCAAGTAGCCGTCCACGCCCGCTAGCACCGCCTTAAGCAGAATTCAACATTTAATCATGGTGATGGTGAAATTTTGAATTTAGAAACATTCACAGATGTGTTCATATGGTGATCTTTTGACAATCCGAAAGCACTATAGATTAGATATTTGGCATGACACATCTTCTGGTGGATGTTTACAAGATTATTCAAATACATGCCCTATGGTCAAAATATGAAAGAATTTGAAAAAAAGTCATGAGCCGGAAATAAAACATAGAAATATCGCACGAAAAATCGGCACGCCACAGTCTGAAATCGAACCACGGGTCTCTGGATTTCCGGTTCAGTATGCTTACCACTACCCCACAGCTGTCGTTGCTTTTGCTAATTAGCATAAAGAAAATGCAATGGCCTTTTAGAAGCCCTGGGTCATCTTAAATCACTCAATCTGCGAGCTTGGCCTTTATATGCCTCCCTGTGGATATGTTAATGCATGAAAAATGATTTCTATTAAGAACTAATTAATAATTAATTGGAAAAAAGTTTGTTTCTACAATTGATCTTTTTTATAAAATTCCATATTTTATTGATAAACATCCATGTTCATTGTATCATTTGTATAACCTCCACGTTCATTGTATTATTTGTATTTCATCCATGTTCATTGTATCCTGTGTTTTTCATCCATTTTCAATGTATCGTTTGTATTTTATCCATGTTCATTGTATCATTTGTATTTCAGAAATCGATGGAGCAGGCACGTGCAAACATGAAAATAATTTTAGCACAGAAAACCTACCAGGAGAAATTATCCCACTTAAATAGCCCACTTTCACCTTTATATAGAGTCAAAGAACTTAAGTAAGTGTACAGAAAAGATGTTCTTTCATATTTCCTTCCAATCATTGACAAAATAAGGTGACGAGAATTTGACAGCTGGACTGAGAAGAATACCTTGATAATACCTTTGATTCAGTTAATTAGAAAAAATATTACTTCCAAATAGTGTTACTTATTTTATGACCATCAAATTAATTTTGTAGGTAACTGTAGGTAGTTCTGTCTATTTTTACTCAATAATGATTTTATCACTTTTCTTATACATGTACTTCAATATTCAATACTTGAAGTAGTTTAAGATGCTATTTTATGAACAGTTTGTCTACACGGTTGCCCAATTTATACAACTATTATCGACTTTGATGTGAAACAATACTAGGTTATAGAGATATGAATAATTTCTATTTATAGCACAGACCAGTGTAAGTTCATGAACTCAAAGAAGCGCCCCCTATATCTTGTTTGGTCTAACGAGGATGATGAAGGCCAAGAAATCCATATTATTTACAAAAATGGGGATGGTATATATAATTTATTATATTGTAGAAGTATTTTAAGAAGTAACAGTCCACTAATAGTCTGAAAATATGGCAAATTTAACACATAAACTGGATCCAGTGATAACTAAAAAGTACTGAAAATATTGTAATGAAACTTGATATATGGATAGATGGCAGTATGGAGATTATGCACGTATTTTTCTTTTCTTTACTTTTTATGTTGAAAATTCTGGTTGCTTCGCAAACTAACAGTCTGAAAATATGGCAAAATTAACACATAAACTGGATCCAGTGATAACTCAAAAAGAACTGAAAATATTTTTATGAAACTTAAAATATGGGTAGATGGCAGTCTGGAGATTATGCACATCTCTTTCTTTTCTTTTTATGTTGAAAATTCTGGTTGCTATGGCAACAAATAGACTGAATTTCAAGATTTCTGATTTAAATCTTTAAGCTTTTTCACTTTAAGTTCATTATTTCTTAAGGTGTTTACTTCAAACTTTAAATATAAGTTTTCTGGTCATCAACCACATCATATGTAACAAGGTTTACAACTTTAGCACAAAAGTTTTCAGAATTACCTCCCTTGAACTTAGAATTTTTATGAAAAAATATTGTCGTTTTTAAATAACTTCTTTATTTCTTAATGTATCTACTTCAAACATCATATATATGTTTCTTATTATCACTTAACATTTTTGAGAAGGTTAAATACTCTAGCATGACTATTTTACTATTTTCAGAATTATGTTCCCCTTGAACTTAGATTTTTTTCGAGAAATTGGTATTTTTTACTCCAATTTCTTCATTCCTTTAAACTTAAAGTAAATCTCACATTAAATATGACAATGTTCATAAATCTAGCATATTTTATTCAAGAGTTATCTTCTCTTTAAGAATTTTGCATTAAAATATGTTATATTTTGGTAACAGGGATGTTTGAAAAAATAACTTTAGAGTCTCCTTCAGTCTTTCTGTATGTATTTCTGTCTGTCGGTTCATAAAAACTGTTTTCTGAGATCACTTTAAAAGATTTTTACCAACAAATTTACTTAAAAAAGACAAAAGTTGAAACATAAGTTATTTTTATTCATCCTGAGAAAATTGGACCTTTTGATTATCTGTTGTATAAACATAATTTCCTTACTAGGCGGGGAAACTTAACACATTACTGTGATATAGACTAACTTAGAACTCAAAAGATTTAAGTTCATTCATGTCATTCATTCACTGGTAAAATTGAATGGCCAAAGACCCATCATAATGTTGCTGGGGTTCTAACCGGTAGGGGACTTATGGATTGCTTGCAATACCATGATAATTGCTTGTTTATTATGTATTGAGATTCATTTTTAGCTCGGCAAAGAATTTTGAGAGCTATTGTACTCACCCAGGCATCAGTACCACTTTTGGTCAAGTTTTTGTGTGCAATTTGATATCTCCGAAACTATTGAAGAAAATAGGTAGAAACTTCACACACTTATTTTAAAGAATTATAGAAGGTCACTGTCGAAGGTCCATAACTCTTACATGGATTTTGATAGAATTATGGCCCTTTTTGAACTTGGGGAAAATTCTACATTTTCCAGTCTCTTGCTTTACTGTCAAGCTTAGAGAATAGTAGAGCTTGCTGTCCCACCAACAGCTCTTGTTTTGGTAATATAGCAGGAATATAGACATAAAAAAGAATCAAGTGGTAGATTACAGTTTATTTGAATGATAATGTCACCTCTTAGAACCTGTAAACAGCCACTTTGATTACTATTTACTAACATTTTGTTTGATTTCAGATTTACGACAAGATATGTTAACTCTACAAATGCTTCAAGTTATGGACAGTATTTGGCAAGCAGAGAATTTAGATCTAAGGTAAGTAACAGGCGTTTAAGCTAGGACTAAAGACGCTCTAAATATAAGCAATGCAATAGATGAATATTGTATTGAGCTATGCTATTTTTTTTGAAAGTTAACTAAAAATAGAAGGTAAATATATCTAGTATAATGTGTTGCAGTTTTAATAAGATTTTGCCTGGTAGTGCATTGAATGGTAAAGGATCGTGTTTGTTATATATCATGTAACTGATTTAAAATAACATAAATGCCATAATGTTATTATTATCTGTAACAATAGGATAACAGGGTAGCTTTATAAGAGTTGATCATGTGACCATGAGTACTTATAGTTTTTTTGTGTTGGTTTGTATGGTTTCAAGTCATATTGACTCTGTAAAGGTGATTTGATGGCTATAAAGTATTACTGTTGGAGGAAGACAATGGGTCTCCAGCTAGGCATTATTTTCAGCACAAGCATTGACTGGATCCTATGATGAAAGGAAAATTCTATGCGACAATTGATCTTGGACATTGATAGTAACAGCCATTTTAACAGGGCAAGCGATGTTCATTGAACTGGTCCCCCTAAAAAAACGCAACCAAACAGGAACCAGGGTAAGGTACCCAGCTGGCCACAGAACAAAGTACCAATTAAGCCATCAAACAAAAATATTAAAAGACACTTATCAGCTATGTTTAGACTAGTTGACTATCTTTTATACATGTATAATAATTTTATGTGTAATATTGATGATTGTGTTAAAAGTAATGGTTGATCATTATTTTGGCTGTTTAAACAGGATAAATGCATACGGGTGTATAGCAACAGGGTTTGAACAGGGTATGATAGAGGTTGTACGACGATCAGCTACTCTGGCTGAAATACAGAAACAAGGAGGAGCTTTTGACAAGAAGACACTTTATGAATGGTTAAAGGATAAAAACAAGACAGAATCCGAGTGAGTTATTATAATTAAACCGCGTCACGACAAAACCAACATAATGGGTTTTCGACCAGCATGCATCCAGACCAGCCTGCCCATTCGCCAGTAGAGAAACTGATAGTGAACAGCATGAATCGTGATCAGACTGCGCGGAGGCGCAGGCTGGTCTGGATCCATGCTGGTCCCAAACACATAATGTTGGTTTTGTCATGACGCGGCTCATATGATTATGATATAAAATTCTTAAAATTAGGGTTTTTAGTGAAGTTGAGTTAAGTATGTTGAGTTTAGTAATAGACAAGTTGACTGTTGACATCATAAGCACCTGCTACCAGAATTTAGCAGATTAAGTGATTGGTAAAGAGAGCCTATATAAATATTCATTATGTAGCAGCAGAAGTTTAAAATTCTAATCACTTTTTCATTTGTGGATCGATTTTATTAGCTCACCTGACCACGAAGGGGTCAAGGTGAGGTATAGTGATTGGGCTATGTCCGGCGTCGTGCGTCGTCAACAATTAGGTTAACAGTCTAGCACTCACAGTTTTGACTGGATCATTGTCAAACTTTGTCAGGAAGGTTTGTCTAAATTAAATACAGATCAAGTTCGAAGATGGGTCATCTTCTGTCAAAAACTAAATCACAGGAGCTAAAAATAGAAAAGGTTTGTTAACAATCTAATGGCTGTAGTTTTGATCCAAATATCCTGGAAATTTGTCAGGAAGGTTGTTTTGATAATTCTAGGTCAAATTCGAAGATGGGTCATCTCCTGTCAAAAACTAGGTTACAGGAGCTAAAAAAGAAAAAGTTTGTTAACAATCTAATGGCTGCAGTTTTGATCCAAAAATCCTGGAAATTTGTCAGGGAGGTTGTCTTGATAATTTCTAGGTCAAATTCGAAGATGGGTCATCTCCTGTCAAAAACTAGGTCACAGGAGCTTAAAATAAAAAAAGCTTGTTAACACTCTAGTGGCTACAGTTTTGATCCAGATATTCTGGAAATATGTCAGGAAGGTTGTTTTGATGATTTCTAGATCAAGTTCAAAGATGGGCCATCTCCGGTCAAAAACTAGGTCACAGGAGCTAAAAGTAGATAAAGCTTGTTAACACTCTACTTGCTGCAGTTTTGATTCAAAAATTCTGGAAATTTGTCAGCAAGGTTCTTTTGATGATTTCTAGATCAAGTTCGAAGATGGGTCACCTGGGGTCAAAAACTAAGTCACAGGAGCTAAAAATAGAAAAGGCGTGTTTACACTCTATTGGCTGCAGTATTAATACAAATATTCTGGAAATTTGTCAGGAAGGTTTTTTTGATGAATTATAGGTCAACTTTGAAGATGGATCATCTTTGGTCAAAAACTAAGTCACAAGAGCTAAAAATAGAAAAAGCTTGTGAACACTCTAGTGGCTGCAGTTTTGATCCAAATATTCTGGAAATTTGTCAGGAAGGTTGTTTTGATGATTTCTAGGTCAACTTTGAAGATGGGTCATCTCTGGTCAAAAACTATGTCACAGGAGCTTAAAATAGAAAAAGCTTGTTAACAATCTAGTGGCAACAGTTTTGATCAAAATATTCTCGAAATTTGTCAGGAATGTTGTTTTAATGATTTCTAGGTCAAATTAGAAGATGGGCCATCTCTGGCAGGAGCTAAATAGAGAAAAAGATTGTTAACACTCTAGTGGATGCAGTTGTGATTCAATTATTCTGGAAATTTGTCAGGCAAGTTGTTTTGATGATTTCTAGGTCAAGTTCGAAGATGGGTCATCTCCGGTCAAAATCTAGGTCAAAGGAGCTAAAAATAGAAAAAGTTTGTTAACAATCTAATGGCCGCAGTTTTGATCTGAATATCCTGGAAATTTGTTAGGAAGGTTGTTTTGATAATTTCTAGGTCAAATTCGAAGATGGGTCATTTTTTGTCAAAAACTAGGTCACAGGAACTAAAAATAGAAAAAGTTTGTTAACAATCTAATTCCTGCAGTTTTTATCCAAATATCCTGGAAATTTGTCAGGGAGGTTGTCTTGATAATTTCTAGGTCAAATTAGAAGATGGGTCATCTCCTGTCAAAAACTAGGTCACAGTAGCTAAAAGTAGAAAAAGCTTGTTAACACTCTAGTGGCTGCAGCTTTTATCCAGATATTCTGGAAATTTGTCAGGAAGGTTGTTTTGATAATTTCTAGGTCAAATTCGAAGATGGGTCATCTCCTGTCAAAAACTAGGTCACAGGAGCTAAAAATAGACAAAGGTTGTTAACAATCTAATTCCTGCAGTTTTTATCCAAATATCCTTGAAATTTGTCAGGGAGGTTGTCTTGATAATTTATAGGTCAAATTAGAAGATGGGTCATCTCCTGTCAAAAACTAGGTCACAGGAGCTAAAAGAAGAAAAATCTTCTTAACACTCTAGTGGCTGCAGTTTTGATCCAGATATTCTGGAAATTTGTCAGGAAGGTTGTTTTGATGATTTCTAGATCAAGTTCAAAGATGGGTCATATCCGGTCAAAAACTAGGTCACAGGAGCTAAAAATAGATAAAGCTTGTTAACACTCTACTTGCTGCAGTTTTGATTCAAAAATTCTGGAAATTTGTCAGGAAGGTTGTTTTGATGATTTCTAGATCAAGTTCGAAGATGGGTCACCTGGGGTCAAAAACTAGGTCACAGGAGCTAAAAAAAGAAAAAGCTTGTTAACACTCTATTGGCTGCAGTTTTAATACAAATATTCTGGAAATTTGTCAGGAAGGTTTTTTTGATGATTTATAGGTCAACTTTGAAGATGGATCATCTCCGGTCAAAAACTAAGTCACAAGAGCTAAAAATAGAAAAAGTTATTTAACACTCTAGTGGCTGCAGTTTTGATTCAAATATTGTGGAAATTTGAAAGGCAGGTTGTTTTGATGATTTCTAGGTTAAGTTTGAATATAGGTCATCTCCGATCAAAAACTAGGTCACAGGAGCTAAAAATAGAAAAGTTTGTTAACAATCTAATGGCTGCAGTTTTGATCCAAATATCCTGGAAATTTGTCAGGAAGGTTGTTTTAATAATTTAAATGTCAAGTTCGAAGATGGGTCATCTCCTGTCAAAAACTAGGTCACAGGAGCGAAATATAGAAAAGGCTTGTTAACTATCTAGTGGCTACAGTTTTGATCTTCTTGAAATTTGTCAGGAAGGTTGTTTTGTTGATTTCTAGATCAAATTTACAGATGGGTCATCTCCGGTCAAAAACTAAGTCACAGGAGCTAAAAGTAGATAAAGCTTGTTAACACTCTATTTGCTGCTGTTTTGATTCAAATATTCTGGAAATTTGTCAGGATGGTTGTTTTGATGTTTTCTAGGTTAAGTTTGAATATAGGTCATTTCCGGTCAAAAACTAGGTCACAGGAGCTAAAAATAGAAAAAGTTTGTTAACAATCTAATGGCTGCAGTTTTGATCCAAATATTCTGGAAATTTGTCAGGATGGTTGTTTTGATGATTTCTAGATCAAGTTCGAAGATGGGTCACCTGGGGTGGGTCAAACACTTAGTCACAGGAGCTAAAAATAGAAACAGCTTGTTAACACTCTTTTGGCTGCAGTTTAAATACAAATATTTTAGAAATTTGTCAGGAAGGTTGTTTTGATGATTTCTAGGTCAACTTTGAGATGGATTATCTCCTCTCTAAAACAAGATCACAAGAGCTAAAAATAGAAAAAGCTTGTTAACACTTTAGTGGCTGGAGTTTTGATCAAAATATTCTGGAAATTTGTCAGGAAGGTTGTTTTGATGATTTCTAGCTCAAGTTTGAAGATGGGTTATCTCCAGTTAAAAACTAAGTCACAGGAGCTAAAATAGAAAAAGGTTGTTAACACTCTAGTGGCTGCAGTTTTGATCCAATTATTCTAGAAATTTGTCAGGAAAGTTGCTTTGATAATTTCTAGGACAAGTTCGAAGATGGGTCATCTCTTGTTAAAAACTAAGTCACAGGAGCTAAAAATTGAAAAAGCTTTTTTACACTAGTGGCTGCAGTTTTGATCCAAATATTCTGGAAATTTGTTAGGAAGGTTGTTTTGATGATTTCTAGGTCAGGTTCGAAGATGGGTCATCTCTGGTCAAAAACTATGTCGCAGGAGCTAAAAATAGAAAAAGCTTGTTCAAACTCTAGTGGCAACAGTTTTGATTAAAATATTCTTGAAAATTTGTCAGGAAGGTTGTTTTAATGATTTCTAGGTCAAGTAAGAAGATAGGTCATCTGTTGTCAAAAACTGTCACAGTAGCTAAAAAGAGAAAAAGGTTGTAAACACTCTAGTGGCTGCAGTTTTGATCCAAATATTCTGGAAATTTGTCAGGCAGGTTGTTTTGATGATTTCTAGGTCAAATTAGAAGATGGGCCATCTCTGGCAGGAGCTAAATAGAGAAAAAGCTTGTTAACACTCTAGTGGATGCAGTTTTGATCCAATTATTCTCGAAATTTGTCAGGCAGGTTGATTTGATGATTTCTAGGTCAAGTTTGAAGATGGGTCATCTCCGGTCAAAATCTAGGTCACAGGAGCTAAAAATAGAAAAAGTTTGTTAACAATCTAATGGCCGCAGTTTTGATCCAAATATCCTGGAAATTTGTCAGGAAGGTTGTTTTGATAATTTCTAGGTCAAATTCGAAGATGGGTCATCTCCTGTCAAAAACTAGGTCACAGAAGCTAAAAATAGAAAAAGTTTGTTAACAATCTAATTCCTGCAGTTTTTATCCAAATATCCTGGAAATTTGTCAGGAGGTTGTCTTGATAATTTCTAGGTCAAATTAGAAGATGGGTCATCTCCTGTCAAAAACTAGGTCACAGTAGCTAAAAGTAGAAAAAAGCTTGTTAACACTCTAGTGGCTGCAGCTTTTATCCCAGATATTCTGGAAATTTGTCAGGAAGGTTGTTTTGATAATTTCTAGGTCAAATTCGAAGATGGGTCATCTCCTGTAAAAAAACTAGGTCACAGGAGCTAAAAATAGACAAAAGGTTGTTAACAATCTAATTCCTGCAGTTTTTATCCAAA